CCAGATGTTCCTGAGTCAAAGTCCCTTATGGGGACAGAGGTAATCTATCCCAAAGTACAGCTTAACAGAAGTAAAGGAGTCTTGTCAGCAATCCTGTAATTTCCATTTGAATAAGGGCAGATTTTAAAAAAAATGAAATCATCCTCATCTTCCTTGCCTCATCTAAACTTGAAGACTTCAGGAGAGTTGAAACTGAATACAGCCCATGATAAGGTCATACAGAGGTCTATTAAAGAATGAAACATCTGACTTTTCAACTCGTAGTCATCAGATTTTGCTGTATGTCTGTCTGGTAATATTTTGATATTAACATTCCCTTTCACTGAAAAGTTAGCTGTGGGTAATAACAGCAACATCCTTAATTAGTTAATAATGACACGAATGCATGAGATCTATTTATTCTACTGCAGCAGTATGGTGGTCTAGGCTTGAATGGGTTGATGGTTGGACTAGGTTTTCTTAGTGGTCTTTTCCAAGCATGATGATTTTATGATTCTACGAATGTAGGTAGATGAACAGTCTTGAATGCTTTGAACAGACATCCTGCTGGAAAATGTCATTTTAATTATGAATAGCTGAGCTTACTTCCAGTGGGAGCATTTTTAAAGCTGAGATTCACTTATAAGAAAGTCCATGCCATATGGAAAAGATTTCATGGACTAAAATGATAATAATAAAACCCGCAGAAAACCAAGCACTTTGTCCAGAGAAGAATGTGTTCTGTGTTAGTGAGGCTCAGAGTTAGTTTAACATTAGCAGCACACTTTGGTTTGTGGAAAAACAAACTGTTACAAACACTGATGCCACAAAATTTCCTGCAAAATGCATTAAAGGTGGTCATGCAGTATTCCCATTATCCTAATAGACTATCTCTTTCATAAGCACAAGACTTCAAATCATACCAGGAGAGATTCAGGTTGGATATTAGAAAAAAATTACTCTCAGAAAGAGTGGTAATGCATTGGAACAGACTTTCCAGGGAGGTGTTGGAATCACTGTCCTTGGAGGTGTTCAAGAAACATGAGGCTGTGGCACTGAGGGACAGGGTTAGTGGGCATGCTGGTGATCAATATTGGTGGTGGTGGGTCAATACTTGGACTAGAAGATCTTAGTGGTCTTTTCCAACCATACTGATTCTGTGACTATGATTCTAAGGAGAGCTTGTTTAGGCTTGGATTTCTTGGGATGCTCTGATGGTGTAAGGCTGTTTCTCTTTCAGCTGTACATGACACTGAGACTGTTGTCTCCCCATCCTCACCTAAAGGAGCAGAGCCTTCTGCATCCCTTTTTGCCTCCTCACTGTAGAAAAGAGATCTTCCACCCCAGTGTAAGGGAGCAGAGAAGTCTGAGCAAACACTCCTAGGCTGCTGGATGAGGGGAAAGCAGAATTCTTCCCCACACCTGCCTCCATGTCTGTAGGAAGAGAAACAAACCCAGAGACACTTGTCAAGGCTGTCTCTAATTGGGCTTGGGCCATTCTCAACGTAGTAATACCTCTCAGAAATTGATGTTGTAAAGCTGAAAAGCTGAACAGCTCAAATGCATAGGAGGCTCTGATAATGTTCTCAGGTCTGCCAGTAACTATTCTGGGAAAAGGGCAGCCTTCTTAATCTTTGAACTGTACACTGCCATGCCACTTATCCAAAGTTTAAACATGTCATTGTACTTGGAGAGGCAGAATATATGTGTTGGTACAAACCTTCAGATCTCTGCTAAAAATCTGCTAAAAATCATGTTTTACAACTGAAGTTGGAGAAACTCTTGACAATAAACACATGTGATGGTTGAATTCTCTATCTCCCTTCCTAAAGAGATAGAAGTTTTGTTGTTCTTCTTACTCCCATTCTTCTGCTGGTGCTTTCTTCCACTGTAATAATTAAGCTGAAATGTGTCTAATACAATGGAACAGTCAGTTTTGGCCTATGTGCTGAAGTACTATGATTTACATCAAAAATAAAAATCAAACCAAACCCTAAATAGAGGTCAGCACCATAGGAGTTCCCAAAGGCAATTTCTCCTATGTAGACATTTAGTCCAAGTCTCAGCAACAGCTTTCTGACCTTGGAGCTGAAAGAGGAGAGATGAATTGCAAGAAGATAGGGAAAAGCTTCGTGTCTTGGAAAGGACGTAGGACAGTGGGATATGCTGCCAGAAAGGCTAGAAAATTGCCAGGCTGGAGCGAGATGTGGTAGCTTAACTTTGTGGTTACTTATTCAAAAGTGAAATCAAAGATACAGCAATGCAGGCAGATAGCCTGCAAATAGTAAAGGTCCCTTCTGCTCTATGCTACTATGTGAGAAAAGATTTAAGGGTGTTCTAGGATCCTTATGACCTGGTTCATGCCAAAAAGGCACGAGTTTACTGCTGGTGCATGTGTTTGGAGCCATGCATTATGGAAAGGCCTGGGACTAGTCCACAGTGCTTTCCAATGCAAAACAAAAGCCAGACTTATGCTAACATTACTTTCATCATTTCCACCAAAAGAAATTCTCCATCATTTTATAACCTAGACATGCATAAAACATTTCTTCTGTTGCTGGTTTAATCCTTAATATCATCAGTTCGGTTTCCTAGGGCAAGCTGAAGATGGCACATGATTTCTATTGGAGTCCCTAGCAGCAAACAGAAGAAAAAAAGAGTGAAGAAAGATATTTATTTTCCTATGTACTGCCTTGACTGTTACTAAACCAATAGCCACTACTGACTTACAAATACTGATCTTTGCAAGCTTCCCCTCCAGGATAACACCCAAGGAATAAGGCTCAGTCAATATACAAAGGTCACCTTCCCAGCTTTCTATCAGTTCAAAGCTCTTTGTTGCTGACTCTGGCAACTTAAATTCTAGATAGATTCAGTTGCATCTCTGAAATACCCAAAACATCTCAATCTATAAAACCCTCCCGCAAACATAACACAGATTAGCTTTGACATGGTATTTAGGCATTTGAGGTTTTTACAAATGAGGCATACCTAAATAGAAAAAAAGCACAGATAAAAAATTCAGTGAGATACTGAGGGATTTTAGGGCAACATATGCTTCTTTGATCTGAATCTCTCTGCTAGATTTACTATTTCTATTCTATAACACTGGACAGCCCATAATGACACCTTGCCAAGCACAGTAAAATCAGGATTTGCTGGGAACTCATCTCCAGAGCTCAGCACAACTTTGCTGTGAGATCTCACTGCAACCCAAAGGCTCTGAAATTATCTACTATTACAGACTAAATCTCTTACTCCATCATTCTGCACTCCAGTCCCATGACAGAAACCTCACCAAAATAAACCTCACCTTCCTGGCCATGCTGAAGGTCTGTGCCTCCTGTAACTGACTTTGCTTGCAAATGACCAATAATATTCTAACAACTCATCTTGCCCCTCTCTTTGAGAAAGGGCAGAACACAAATTTCATTTCTTACTGCCAGCCTGACTCTGATCCCTGTTTTCTTCCTTTTGCTGTAGCAAATATACTTCCCTGCAACTTCTGACTCCTGCCTAGCAGACCTAATGTTCTGAGACATCGGGGAGGTGACATCAGACTGTCCTTCCTTATCTTTGTTACCCACATCACTAACTTCTCAGGCTGCAGATATCTGTTCTAGTACCAATCCCTCTGAAAAGCTGCAAAATCTTTCCCTCAGCCTGCATTCTTCAAAGACTCTTCCTTCCCTGCTTCGGTTGAGGAAAGCCTCGTATAACATGATCAGCTGCCCCAGTGGCAGCTTAAATTCCATCACTAAGGCTTTTCTCAACTGCTGTGCCCACCTTGGACTCTATCTCAGACTCTGCAGGTGGAAAAGAAGATTCCTTCTATCCCTACAAAGCTCTCAGACACATGATTTGATATTTTCAGGTGGCCCTATGTGGAGCCAGGAATTGGACACAATGAACTTTTGGTCCCTTGCATATCAAGATTTCATTTGATTCTATGATTCTCATTTCTTCCTTCTCTTTGCACTCAGATTTTCCCAAGACTGTTATGGTTTCCAGTTCCTAGTTATGGATGCAGCACTCTGAGATGACCTGAACAGGAATCAAGGAATCATAGAATCACCAAGGTTAGAAAAGGCCTACAAGATCATCCAGTCAATCATTTGAATTGAAAGGGATCCTTAAAGGTCATCCAGTCCAACTCCCTTCAATGAACAGGGACAACAACAGCTAAATCAGGTTGCTCACAGCCTGGAATGACAAGGATAGAGCATCCACCATCTCTCTGGGCAACCTGTTTCAGTGCCTCACCATCTGTATTATAAACAACTTCTTTTTTATATCCAGTCTAAATCTCCCCCCCCTTAAGTTTGAAACCATTTCCCCTTGTTCTTTCACAGCAGGATGAATCTTCCTCTGGATGCACTCCAAGAGGTCCACATCCTCTTGTACCAAAGACTCCATATCCAGATACAGAACTCGAGGTGAGTTCTCATTAGTGAGGAGTAGAGGAGCAGGGGCATTGCTTCCTTAGTTCCCACCTTCTGAACTTGAGGGCTGAGTGTAAAGCAGACGCTAGTAAAGACTGAGGCAAAAAGTTGTTGAGTACCTCAGCCTTCTTGTCTATAGTTACCAGCCCGCCTGCATTTATCACTAGGGGGAGATACATTCACCTGAAATTTCCATTTCCAGCTTATGTACCTACAGAAGCCTTTCTTATCCTTATTTGAGTCCCTTCCCAAGTTCAGTTCCAGCTGGGCCTTGGCCTTCCTTACTCCATCCCTACAAAGCCTGGCAGCAAAGAACTGACACAAACATGGGAAATAGACAAGAAAACAGATTCCATGCATAACGAACTGACATGAGGAAAGATTTTTTCCATCTGGGATGATAATCACTCTGTAGATAAACTAGTGGTATCTTTGTGACTCTCCATGTCCAATGTGGTGCATGTGTTTGTTGCAATGTACACAAAACTCAAGGTAAGGCATTCAGGAATGGCTCCTAAATGCTCCTGCTGGCACTAGTGTGTCTACAGGAGGTGATGGTTCATGAGGTGTATGACTAACCTTGCTGTCCGTTGTTGGAGACTCCTTCTCCTTCTCTGCATGCTGAAGTTTTCTATTCAGATCTTGGAACATGTCTTGGTGACGTTTTCTTGTGTGCATGATTTTCTGAAGAAAATGCAAGGGCCACAGATCAGCAAAGCCTATTCAGCCATACAAAACCAACATTTCCTCCTCTCAAAGCTACATACATTATTAAAATGTAGATCTATCTCACTGCAGACTAAATCCAGCTTCCCTAGAGCAGCTCCAAAATTCTCTGAGGACCCACATGCAACCCTGTAATTTCAGAATAAGATGGTGGGTGAAAGTGAAGAAGTTTAGTTTTTGAACTTATGATTGTCCTGAAATTGCAAATGCCAGCTGTCTATGTTGCAAAATTTGTACACTGGTCTACCAGCTTGACTCAGGAAGCTCTGTTACCTTTCTTAACTGATTGCTGACCCTATGCCTGCTCTGTTGCCTCCTTGGCAAACATTTTCAGAGCTTATCTGAATACATAGGATTTAGGCTAAATAAGTTCTATCAGCAGTCACGTCACAGTTTCATTTTCTTTGTAATTTGGTCAGTCTGTATTTCACTTTTACTTTCTACTGACCAGGAGATGAAGGAAATATTTCTATAAAGGCTTCCCTCTGTGTGTGAGAGCATGGTGAAGATTGCTTGCTTGTGCTGTGCCAAGTGGTCTATAATTGGAGAAAGTAGCTGATATAATTTAGGATCAGCACAGAAATGAATCAGCTCACATGCACACTCTGTAACTCAATTTCAGAACAAGCTCCCAGTCTTGAGCTCTGAAGTGATTCTAGCATTAAATACAACTCCTCTTGGGCCCTCAGTCTGACTTTGTTTTGGAATAAGTCACCAGCTTTTAAGGGAAGACATGGCTCTGCCATCAAGGATGTCATGATTTGACTAAGTTCTGCACCATCTCCCAGTAGCCCCATAGACACTCTTTCAAAGCTTTCTACTCCATCCTTTCAGTGTGAATACAGGCATTTCCCTTAGTGTAGATAGGATGTGAGGAAAACATTTTTTACAATAAGGGTAGTGAAATGCTGGAACACGTTCACCAGAGGGATGGTAGATCTCTGGAGACTGTCAAGGTCTGGACTGACTGGACCTGCAACCTCATCTGGTTGCAGGTGTTCCTGTTCATTGGAAGAGATTTGAACTAGATGGCTTTTAAGGATCCCTTCCAACTGAACTGATTTTATGATTCTTTGATTCTCCCGGGCAAATTCTGTGAGGCTCATTAATAGGTGTGAAAACCCAGGTTTGATCATGGTTTGTGACAATGTAGACATATTACCTGCCTTTCTGTCATGCAACAGAGCTTTGGCACAAAAGTCAAGGCATTTTAGATCACTAAGCAAAGGATGTACTTGTGTTTCCTAAATAGGAATGCATCGCAGCCACCTGTAGCCCTTTTGCACTAGCTTATTTGCAAAAGAGATGCTATAAGTCTTGTGCACTCTGACATGGGATCTTCATTTACAAGAGTTTATGCAAAGGCAACGGCTTCATAAATTAAGCATGAGCCAATATAATCTACCCATTTTTTCAGCTGCACAGGGTAAGCCTTATTAAGCAGCCAGTGCAACTCTTTCTGCCCACCATTTTCCAACTTCTTTGGCAAAGGCTGCATTCCAACAAAGGTGGTGGCAAAAAAATGAAACTGCATTTCCCTTTCTCTCCCTACCCTTCAAGAAATACATTCAAAAATTGATATACTCACCTCAAAATCTAGTTCTGCATACCGTGATTTCCGTCTCTGGAGATTCAAAGGAAAAAGAGAGGGTGGTGAAGGTTAGTAAGGAACTGAGGGGCACAGACTGAACTGCACAGTAGATGAATAAGAGAGGCTCCTTCTCTTTTTACCTTTAAAGTGTTTCTCTGGCTAATCTTGATGGAAAGTGACAGTCTATAAGAAGGATCACTCACAAAAGCGCTGAAACCGAAGGAAGGCTGAACATGGATTTCTGGCTAATTCAGACTCCTGTCCTAGTTATGATCTTGAAGGTGGTTTTTACAGGATGGGAAGGAAATAAGAAGGCTCAGCCAAGAGATCTAGCAGAGCTTCTGACCATCAGTCAGTAAAGATTGAAATTTGGGCAGCAACGGCCAAGACTTGCTCTCTGATAATAGGCAAGAAAATGGCCAGGTGCTGAGAAATGCAAAAGCTAGGGCAGACATCAGTGTGAGATGTACAAACTAGGGAAAACTGCTAATATACGTATTGAATTGTTGCAAGAAGGAGAGGGCTGCACTTCTACCAAACCTCTGACATCCTTTTGATGCAAAGAAAGTTGTGGGTCATATTTTAAGTATATGCCAGGCTGGATGGGGTCATGGACTACCTGATCTAATGCCTGCTTTAGTGCTTGGCAACTCTCTCCATGGCAGGGAAGTTGGATCTAGATGATCTTTGAGGATACCTCCAACCCAAGTCATTCTGCGATGATTCTGTGATACATCTGCAATCAAGAGGATTTTCCTACCTTTGTCACTACTGAAGTCATCAAAATGGCAAACAGAAGAGGATAGATGGAGAAAAGGTAATGCATGTGCCTTGGTCATGTGCCTTGTGCTAAAATGAACTGCTCTGACATGCCAAAGTTTTGATTTTAATTTGCATTACGTTGCAAAAGACAGCCCATCACACAATGGGCTGTAGCTGTGGAAGTAATGAGGGATTTTTAAAACAAAATTATGAAATGGTATCACCTGCCAGGGTTTCCTCACAGTAATATAATTATGGCACTACACAGTGGGCTACATCTGGCCCAACAATCCACTCTGGAAAAATCTGTTGAAGACAGTATTGAGGGCAGGGAACATCATGGGCTCGGAACGGCAATGGAATTCCCATGCTCACCTCCAAGGAGCTCATGGAGAGAGTGGAGACGGTCTCACTCTTGGACACCACACCTGAGTTCCCTGAGTCACCTGTGTCACACAGGCTGTTGGGAATCTGTGACTCGCTGGGGATATTCTGTGGAGGCAGCTGCTGCTGCTGTTGTATCATGGGAGAACCTTGCACCTCACTGCAAGTCATGGTCACAGGTTCCCGTGGAGGACTTTTGACGACAAAACCTGGGTCGGTAGCCATACTGAGGTGGATCAGCCGTGTCTGGGGCATCTGGTCTATATTGATGCTGTATTTGCTCTCATCCTTGGGTGGTTTGGCCCGTAAGGTGGATGTATTGGTAGGCAGAATGACATAGCTGGTGTCCAGTGTTTGTTCTTGTGCCCGAGAGAGTTCTGAGTCCAACTTCTTGAAGATGTCCCCGTCACAGATGTAGATAGACTTGGGTGGTTGATTCTTGTCCTTCTTCAGAGTGAGACTGTGATTGCTGAACTCATTCAGGTTGATGGCCCCCAGGTAGTGCGGGGAGCCCTGAAGATGCAACTTGGACACATTGGCTGGAAGACTGTTAAAGTTTGATGACCCCTTCTGATGATTGAGCTTCAATTTCTCTTCATCCTGTAGCGATGGGCGCTTCAGTGTTCCTGTGATGGTGGAGGTCCTGCAGGCTGTGATGTCTTTATTCAGCACTAGAGAGACAGACAAGTATCCTCAGCACTGCATCTTAGCTTTGGTTAACACATCAATATATCCACTGCAGTCACACCATGCTGGCATGTTCCCTGGGACCTCTCAGAATGAGGCTATAGTGGCAAAATGTTTTCATATATATATTTTTTCCTTTTAGTCCAGGATGCTGAACGCAAATCTAAAGCCAGAAAAAAAACTCCTCATTTTGAGAGAATCCTCTGCATTGATAATTTCCCAACCCTATCATGGCCAAAACTCCAAGCTACATTGAAACATATTATCATACTGATAACATTATCTCAAAAAGAAATTATACGTGTGTATTACATGTGTATATATATATAATACACAGCAAATATCACATACACGTAAGATTCTAGCATACAGAGAAGCAGTATTTATTTTAAGTATAAGATTGATCTCATGTCAAAAAAAGATTTTGATTCAGAAATTAGCTGAAATGCAGCATTATCAGCAATTATTGTTTCTTTGTTTTAATTTGCTCAAATTCTTCAGGTTGAACTTCTTCCCAGGAACAGTTTCAGGATTAGATTTGATAGTGTACAACATATCACATTTTGTTATAAATTTCTGATTCACTCTCTGGAAAGCTTACATTCCAATCATTATGCCAAGCCTCTGAGAGACATAATTATTTGTTGTTTCTCAATGTGCCTAGAGGACAAAAAGGAGTGCAGTGAATATTCCTAAGTAGGAGATGAAAACTTTTATCTGAGGATGAGGTGAACATGCCATATAGGAGGTACATACAAGACTCACAGACACTCATATCCACACAACACTGTCTTCAACAAAACATCTTATTCACTTCTAATAAGATTCTGTTGCTCAGTTGATTTCAGGTGACAACAAAGACCTTAAGAAGATTATGACACAAGCCTTGATTTCTCCAGGGGATGGAAAACACTGACTGTGGGGTAGGGGCAAAATGATGTGGCACTGAAGGACACTTACCCAATGTTTCAGCTCAGTAAAGGAGAGATAAATGAACATCTCCCTTTCTACCATCTCAGACTAAAATGTTGAGATCTTTTTACCACTTTATTTTTCCAACATTTTTGGGGTAACCAAAAGACCTCTATTCTATTTTATGACAGAGGCAGCACATGGCCGAGGAATTCCATGGGACTGAGGGCATACCCATTTTTCTATCAACTGAAATTGGGAATGGTGGGTGCTGGGTGAGCACAGAGAATACAGGCAACACAGGGTGATAAAAAAAACAAGTGGAACACAGGGACTTTTTTAAAAAAACCTTTGAAAGCTAGGCACATAGGGCATAATTATGGCAGCCATGGTAATCTTAATGTTGCTACAGGGCACACTAAGATAAATCAGAGCATTATAATGTGTTCATACCATAAGCCGCAGTAGTATGATACTGAACTCAGACCTTTAGCTCAGCATCAGTAAAGTTTATTGATCTTGCTCACAGCACCTGCCTGAAGCAGGCTTGAAGAAGCTGGGCGATCTCCAAACATGGAGCAGTAAGCTTCCAAAACTGGGCTATGGAGTAAATCCTAACAAAGACTCCAAGTTGCAAGCTTAAGAGTGGTGTCTGACCTATCTGCAATCAGTCAGTTTGAGAGCTGATGCTTCCAGGGCAAACTACAGCCAGGAACCAATTGGCTTATTTATATGTTGTATTATTTTAAGGGCAGATTGCCTAAGAATTCCAGTGATGCACCATATAGAGAAGTCCCCAAAATAGTGACTGTTACTAATTAGTTAGTTCGATGCAAACTAATATTATCAGAGGATGATTATCTCTTCAGGCAGACATCAACAAAGAGACAAACAGTAGGGAAGTAAGGGAGGGAGCAGAGGAAGGGAGATCTAGGTTGTTAGCGAGCTATTAATCAAGGGTCTTCTGCCTTTTGTCTAGGAAGCTCAATTTGATAGCAAAAAATTCTTCAAGAAAGGCTCTGTTGTAGGAGTATGGAGTCTGCCTTGATTTTCAGCACAAAGTGTGCTGAGCATGCATTCAAATCATATCTGGTCTCATGAGCATGCCTTTTGCACATGGCATTTTGGAACCAAAGTCTTCAGTGTCAGAAAACAGGGAGGAAGATAGATGAGATGAGAGAGTCAGCTAGAAATACAATTAGGGAGTATGAGACAGAGAAATAGAGAAAAAAAAATGGAGCGACCCTGAAAAAAAGATAAATGGACAGAAAGAGACCATGAAATAAGATATCACAATGATAAGTGAGATAAATATACTATGACTATGATAGGCACAGGGAGAGGGAGTGAGGCTGAGAGAAAAAGAGAAGAAGATAAATAAGATATAGATAGAATATTAGATAGATAAATGATACTGACAGTGATAGACAATACACAGAAACACAACGACAAGGATAAATGCTGACAGAGATAGAAATACATAAATAACAGGTACAGCAAGACAGACAGCTGAGGACAGAGATAAATAAGTGACTGCAAGATATATACGGAGAGAAGCAAGATAAATACATCAGAAGCAGATATATAAATGATGGATTAGATAAAATAAAAGATATAGACATATAGGGAAGGAAGAAGGGAAGAAAGGGAAGAAAGAAGGGAAGAAGGGAAGGAAGGAGGGAAAGAAGGAAAAAAGAAAAAGGAAAAAAAGAAAGGAAGAAAGGGCAATAAAGAGAGTAATACAGAGAAAGAGAAAAAAGAACTGTACACACAGTATGTACTGTCCTTGGCTAAGGAAGATCCTGGTTTGGAAGATGTGAATTATGTGCAAATGCCAAGCAAGCTGGTATTTCTCTTGCTTGGGAAAAGAGAAATCTGGGAAGGTAAATGAAAACCTAAATATCTACCAAAGGGAAAAATGATAATAACAATACAAAATCTCAGCCAAATGCTCAGGCATGCCAGGAGCAGGAGAGGACAAAATCTGCAGAGACAAACAGACAGCAAAGGAGACTTCAGAAGATGCAGACGCCTCTTTGGGATGGGTATTATTGGAGAAAGGCAAAATCTGCCCATGCAAATCTTCAGAATGTGTGTGGCTGAACACACAGGAGAAAAGTGCAGGCAAAGAAGGAGAGACCTGACCCACCTCCATATATCCAGGCAGCTTACAACTGCACCAGAAATGTGCATGGGGCCAGTGGGAATGTTGGGAAGGCTCTCCAGGTTCCTGACCTCAAAAATACCTTCTGAGCATAGAGCTACCTGAGGCTGCCCCTGATCAGCAGGTGTTAAAGCAAAGAAGGATCACACTTGGAAGAGATGGAGCCCATCTCTTCTTCCTTGATTCTCTTCTCTGCCACTGTGTTACAAGGACCATGGGTAAGAAGTAGTACTTCAGAGCTAAGTTTTTATCTTAGCTAGATGGTCAAGAGATCTGTGGGGGAATAGGACAAGCAAAGTATAGGGGAAAATCAGGGGAACTGCTTTCTTTCAGCCAGGGTTAAGAGTAAAGGCAGGCCCACACATGCACATGCAAGCCACTATGACACACACAGATAAAGTAGAAAGGAAAAAAGATATGGCCTAGTTCAATCCCCAAACCAGGTCACTTGTTGATTCTCACCTGTGATGTGCTCACCTGATCTACAAGCCATATCCACATCCTTCTCAAAATCGGTCTGAAAGACAGAGAACACAGAAGATGTGGTCAAAAGGAGGTGGTGGGGAAAAGAAAAGCATCTGGAAAATGCAAAAAGTGCTTTAATTCAAGAATCAGACATAATCAGTGCTGGAAGAGTGGAGGAGAGACAATTTGCTTAGTCTTTGAAACAAGTCAAACAGTGTTATTTTTTCCAAATGTGGCTCTCAGAACTTAGACATTGGTAGAGCAGTAACACTGCTTTCAGCTGGGTTCTTCTCACCCAAAAGCTAATTCCTGGGTTGCCAAATTTTGTGCAGATTCCTCATAAAGTATGGACAAATTATTGTCCTGATCTGTCTTGGACATTTCTCCCCACACTTAAGTGGATTCTCCTCCACCAGCAGAAAAGGTCTATAAAAACCATCCACAAGATATAAACATTTCAATATTATCAGGCTTCCAGAAGAGATGGTTATGGAATTATCTTAGCTTTCTTACTGCTTATTTATTAGTAATTTTTTTGGAACATAAAATGAATTTGATGGGAATAAAAGATAAATAACATCAGACCAATATTAAAATGGGCAAGTGGGATGACACAGAAAAATGTTATCATATGTTGATGACAAAGTTCCAGAAAAAATGTAACTGAACAACCTGCACTAGCTCAAGCAGTAAGAAAATAAAGGAAAAGTGTATATTTAATACCTGCCAACAAAATTTTGTGGAAAACCATTTACTCAGCTAAGCTTTTTTTAATACACTGAGAAGATTTTGAGATTAGCGGAAAAGGTAACGCTAAAAATGCTGTCCTGCAAAGACTTGGGTTTCTTGAAGGCCAGATTCTGAGAGAAAAAGAAAGTCTACCTCCTGTGAAAGAAAGGATGGGCAAATTGGGAAGAGTACAGAGAGGTTGCTAGAATATGCAGGGAGAAAATTAAAAAAGTAAAAGCCCAGCTTGAACTCAACCTGGCCACTGTTGTTGTAGTAAAAGACAATATTTTTTTAGAAACATACTAACAGTAACAGGAGGGCTAAGGGAGAATCTTCATCCTCTCCTGGATGTGGTGGAAAACGTGATCAGTGAGGATAATGAAAAGGCTGATGTTCTCAATGCCTTCTTTACATCTGTCATTAATAGTCAGACCAGTTATTTTCAGGGTACTCTATCCCCTGACCTGGGAGTCTGGGATAGGGAGCAGAATAAATTCCCCATGATTCAGGTGGAGGTAGTTAGAGACCTTCTACTCCATCCAGACTGTCACAAGTCCATGGGGCCAGATGGGATTCACAAGAGTGCTGAGGGAGTTGGTGGAGATGATTGTTAAGCCACTTTCTACCATTTATCAGCAGGGAGGTGATTGTTCCCCTGTACTCAGATCTGGTAAAGCCACACCTCATGTGAGATGTTCAGTTTTGGACGTCTCAGTCTAAGAAAAGCATCAAGGTTCTGGATGTTCAGAGAAGGGCAACAAAGCTGTTGAGATGACAGGAGCACAAGTCTTATGAGGTGCAGCTGAGGGAACTGGGATTATTTACTCTGGAGAAGTGGGGGCTCAGGGAAGACCTTATTGCCCTCTACAACTTCCTGAAAGGAGGTTGTGGTGAGATAGGGGTCAGTCTCTTCTCCTGGATAAAAGTGATAGAATGAGAGGGAATGGCCTCAAGGTGCATTAGTTTTGATTTTAGAAAAAAGCCTACTTCTCTGAAAGAGTGGTCAGGCACTGGAACAGACTGCCCAGGGAAGTGTTTGAGCCACTGTCCTGGAAGTGTTCAAGAAACATGGAGATGAGATACTTAGGAACCAGTATTGGAGACTGGTGGGCAGTAGGACTTTTCCAGCCGTAATAATTCTGGGATTCTATGATTCTTTGGTTACAACACAATTCAGTCACTGTAAAATAACAGTGTACCCCTCTAAAATATCAGTAGTGAGCCATCATTCATGTCTGGATTTGGGAGTTCTTTGTGCTTGGATATGAAGAAAGTGACTGTAAGCTTGCTACTTCTCAACGCGTCAAACTATAGTACAGAAATAAAAAAGCTAAAAACTTGTAGAATTTTGCAAGGTGACTGATAATTGAAAGCAGAGAATTGTATAAAGGGACAAAAATCTGACACTTCAGAATATAGTTCTTGGGATGGTAACAATAGAATAACAAATTCAGTGTCCACAATTTTAAATGATACTGAGTTTGAGGGGCATATAGAAAAGTATAGAAATAATTTGATGTCTTACAGAAGGAGAATAAAATAACTCAGTGTGTTAATTTATTGAAGGATATTATTGTCTGTTATTGAAGGAGAAGATGTATGAGGCAAACAAGGGACTTTGTAACTACACATTAAAAGGCATAGAAAGAAGTCTGAAAACCTGAAGACTATGCATTTAAATAGGAAAAAATGCAGGTGTTTTAACAAACATTTATGATATGTGATAGGATACTACATGCCTTGATGTCTTGACCTAAAGATTGTGCTTTTGAAATTAGACCTCATATCCAAGCAGAAGCTACTTAGTTTAGGATAGGAGTGACTGCCAGAAATTCATGAGGTTGTGATACAGGTCTAATACTAACTGGGTGTTTTCTTCACATCCTGAAAGTGATTTTCCAGATGTTGTTACTCCAACGTCAGAAATCTAATGTTTCTTGTAGAATCTACATCATAACACTAGAGCAGATGTAAGATGATTCCTCACAGTTTATTATCCTACTGTCTTTAGTAGATTGTTTGTAAAGGATTTACACAAAAGGACTGAGGTTTACAGTGCTTAAGCTTTATTCTCACTGAAGCAATGTAAACAAATATGCTTGAAAAAGCATCTTTATAATAATGACTATGATCCAAAACACTGTGCTTAAATCAATTAAACTGCTGCATCTCAGCTCTAGCTAGAATGAAGCAGTATGATGGAGATGAAAAGATCTGGGAGACTGAAGAGGTATATTTTCCCTTTGAGTTTTCTGGAAAAAGAATGATCTCGCCAAAATGAATGCAAAACTTTGTGTGTAAGTTCTAGCCCCTGAATGTTATGATGAAAAGAGAGAGGACTTCTATGAAAGAGTCAGTGCTATTTTTGTTCAAGTGCAGGTTTAAAGGAAAAAGGAGTGTTTATTGCAAAATGTATGGTGGACAGAGCCCTTTGTTTATCAGTTAAGTGTTAAAAATGCCCATAGGTCTCTTAATAATAGACTAGATAGTGGTTTTCCCTACCATTAGTTGAGCATGTCCGTTCTGAAATGACCCCCCAGAGTCTCCATTGCCCTCTTCCTGGCGGTCTACTACTCGGCACTTCACAGCATCCTGAACCTGCAGGAAGGAGCAAATGGATTTTCACAAGTCAGAATCAGACAGAAGTACCAAAACAAATCAAATTCTTTTGACAGCAACAACAACAAATATAGCTTTGGTAGTTCACGCTACTTTTATGATGGATGCTATTACATAAATCATTCTATTTGTGTCTACAATGTCTGATTACAATCCTATATCAGCTGAAATATACATCTGATTCAAGACTCACTGAAATGAATGAAGAAGAAAAAAATGGAAGTAACTAAAATGGGAGTAAGATGCAGGCTCATATTCATAATGTAATTAGTCGAAGCAACCTCAGCCAAGTTGGTAGTATAGTTCCATTGATTTCACTGGTCTGACATAAAGAATTAATTTGTTTTACTTGATTTAAAGGAGCTGTAAGAAGATAAAATGGATACTGAGAATAATAAAAAAAAAAAGGTTCCCTGTCTGTTATTCATAAAAAATTATTCCTTTTCTTCCCTGATATACTTTACCATTTTAAGTCTCCACAGGGAGGCTGGAGAAAATTTACTCAATTTCCTCACTTGATTATTGCTCACATTACTTTCTAGCTCGAATATCTAGGTGCTATTTGCCAACATATAAACATTCTGTTAACCTTGGTGCAAGTTGCCTTTCTCAAAATCAAATAAGAAAATTTGATTTCCTTAAGATTCCATATTTGGAGGCGTGTAAACATTCTGGAAACATTAATGTTCAACAAGCCAAGACTGATATCTAAGTTGGATGAAATGGTAGGTTAAGAATGTCCTCCAAATTACATTCCACAGTACACTCAGCATAGCAACCACTGATTCATTCTCGCTTGCATTCCATCTTTTGACTGATAACAGCATGGTCACTTATTTGGTCACTGCCTACAGGAATGCAAAATCTCATAGGATTAGAAAAGTTACCAGGCTGATTAGCCTTTTTTCAGATATTTTCTATTGTAAGTACGTTGGTTATATAAAAGAGAAAATGTAATTGTGCTCACCTCTCTCCTAAGGATACAATGGACCATCACAATGACAAAGCCTTCCAATGAGTCGAAGACAGCAAAAAGGATCTGGAAGAGCGCTGACCGCCGATCTGTGATTGCCAGAACTGCAGACATCCAGGTGAGAGCCAGGAGTGGCAAGACCACACAGGAGCTCCAAAGGGATGCCCTGTTAAGGGAGAGGAAAAGAGAATTCAGCCCCACTTCAGCCCCACTTGATCCCATGTGGGATGCTAATTCAGCCTCCTGATCCCATGGGGCTTCAGAAGACTTCTCCAGCAAATGCATACTTGTGCTAGGTGTCTTCTGAGCCCCAGCCACAGGGAAGCAGGAAGATGCTTTGCACACTCACACTACCAGAACAGGTGACACACATTTCCATGGGAGGGACTACTAGCCAATGGTGCAGTCATGCATAAAACTTGAGGTGGGGAGGAAGGATGCAGATACCTCACTCCTCCCCTCATGCCCTTCCCACTCTATGTCACTAGACCACAATGATGACATTTCCCAAGGAGAGGAGACAAAATACAGTCACTGTAGGTTGCCAGGGGGAAGGGGAACAGTTGCAGCAGAGGCTGGTTTGTCACGATGGCTGTCAGTACTCAGGCTACAGACACTTGGACTTCCACAGCACATGGAAGACACCAACAAGTGGGGACGTGTCACAGTTTCAAGTAACTAAAACAGACAAGCATTGAGCTGATGTGAAGAATGGCATTTTGCTGTTACTCCCTTTCTCTGTAGCATTCTACATCTGTGAACATCAGGAAATGTAACTCAGATAACTCTGAATCTTTTCATTTTCTTGTGTGATCTCCTTATCTGAATGCATTGAAAAAAACCTGCAGTTGCTTCTACCTTTAGCAAGGGTTGAAAATAAAAGTTCTTGGGGGGAAATGCTGGGTTAAAATCCTTTGAGATTTTGCAATTGTTAATGCACAAGAGAGAAAACTTTCTGCAAGGTTAGTACTGCCATGTGAACATCCACCTTTTTTTATGACTAATGGCTTTACAAATGAGAAAGCAGCTTTGTTTCCATGGACGATTTAGCCACTCAGTTATCTCACCAAAATAACTTTAACAGCAAGTTATGGAGATTCTAGGCCACCCATTGTCGTATATGTTTGGTGCAGCAAGAGTATCAGGAGAATTTCTTTGTGGTCTTATACCAAACAAACAGAAGTTGGCCTATGCACCAAGCAGATAACAAATTGAACTTCAGGATTTCCTGAGTAGAAAACCTCAGCCTATTTACTAACAAATATATACAGGCAACACAATAAATTACAGGACGTGTATTGTGACACACAGTTTACAGTAGGTACATGGAGCTTGCTTACCATTTTCTGATATGTGATCAAGATTTTAATGTTTACTTGCTGGTTATCCAGGTATCACTCTCATGAACCTCAGTGAGAGTTCTACCTGAACAAAGTTGGAGCTTGGACATGGACATGAGCATCAGGACATAATGTCATGGCTTCAGTTACAGGGTTTTTCAAGGACTGTTACATCTGTTCTGCTGTAATGACCACATACTGGAGCAACGGGTTATTTTTGTAATCATAATGATGCTTTGATTGCAAATATTTCTACAAACTGTTCAGGTTCAGATGTGCTCCTTTTAATCAATGTGATTTCCCTACAGGAGCAATTAAATGGCATAGACTGTTTTCTACTAAACTAAGCATTATGAGGCTTCCTTCTAAGATAAGGGCCACGATATAATGTAGATATAATTTTATATAGGATAAACTAAACTTTTATGTCTAATAGGAACTATAATTTTAATGCATTATTAAAAAAAAAAAAAGGAACCAGCAGCCAAAGACAAGTCTCAACCAAACAACTGCCAAGCAGATGATTTAATTCCACTTCTCTCCTAACCCACTGAAATGTGTCTCATTATACTGAAGTAACTGAAATCTCTCATTGCTTTCATTTGCAACGGTGCATTAATAAAATTGGCAAAGCAGTAAGTGCAGTAAAAGTCAAAGGTGCAAAAAAGCTAAATGAAAACATGAGGCTTGCTCCATAACAGCTGCTCTAGATGTGACTTTAGTGCACCTGCCAACCATACCTGAGAGTGGATTTGATCCCTACACATGTGCCTGAACCAGAGATCTATAATCGCATTGGGTTTCAAGATTCAAGATGCTACCAGCAACATGGATGTAATTATTCCTTAACTATGAAGGGAACTCTTCAGAGCCCCTGCTGTTTTTACGCTGGACTCAATGAGTCCTTTCCAGCCCTACATTCTGGGTTCCACATTGAGGTGGACTTCATCATGGCTTCCAACATAAGCAAACTTAATACCAGCACTGCCCTCTTCACACTTCCAACTCAATGATGGCAACAATATTATGCCAGATATTCAGTTGGTGTAAATCAGAATTTTTTCAACTGAGTCAGCTTCTGTCTTACATCACCTAAGATTACAGTCTGACTTTCTGTCTTCTCTGTGATTCATCTTGCAGATACTTTCTTAACAATATTGTTCCTTTACAAATGTTAGTGAAATGTTCCTTGACATTTAATGCATAAAACTTTATTCTCAGGCAACAGATGGCAATGGGTCATAGCACTATAACTTACTCTAATTTAACTTTCAGAGCTTGGCTTAGATTTTGAAATATTAAATTAAAAAATAATAATAATAAAAAAAGGTTCCATTAAAAATTTCATATCAGGATTGAAATTTCTAAAGAAAACTCAGGGAAAGATAAATGGGTTTCTTGTGATTTGTACTTAATTCCACTTCTGTGAGCTGAATACATAGCAGAACTCATACTTCTGCCACTTTTCTGTTTGCTTCTTTGTAGGAGGCATCCTTAGAAGGTACAATAAAAATTTACAGGACCTAAGAAGCATCATGTTATAGTGCCACATGCTGTGAGATGAAGTGATGATTTATTGTGTAACAACACTCTGATTACTTAACAGCTCTTCATTATGGGTTATCTATGATCAATTAATCCAAGATTTTTATTGCCTGAGACAAAGGGCCAGTCCTTTTAGCTGGCAGATGAAGAAGACATTTATCCTACTGATTTATCCTGATTTATTGATTGCATACATGACAGCTCTAATTGTGAGTGACAAATATCAAGGGGATATCATTACATTGCACCATGGAAGCATAATGCTGGCTTATTGCCTGATGACCACCATATGACAACATTACTCAGCAGTACTGCTGTAATATCACATTTTTTCTACCCTACCACACTGTGTCACTGCTGCATTGCAGAGAAAGTGCATTATTTTGGGTTATGGTCATGTCATGGCATGTTGTAACCAAGTATATTTACAAGGCTATGTAATAACATGGCCACGCATTAAAGTTTTCCACAGCTTTATCCAGTTCAGCAAAGACTTAACCTCTAAACCCAGCTCTGGCAGAGAGCTGGTGATGGCCTCTGATCAATATAACAAAAACTAGACGTGTTTTTGTTCTTTATCTAACTGGCATCCTTAAGAGGCTTCATCTTTGCAATAAATAAATAAATAATAAATAAATAGCAGGATATACTGATGGGAGTTAGAATAGCAATGGAAAGAGCAAAAAGGGCTTTTAGAAATAAAGATCTACATGAAGATCTAAGGGCTTGTGCCCTGACAATGGTAAATGCAAGGGAGCACGATATGTGATTAACAAAGATATAAAAGGCCATTATGAAAATGTAAGCGATCAATTCTTCTCATTAGTCAAGGCTGACAGCACAGCCAGTACACAAAGTTTAAGAAAGAGAAGGAAGAAAAACAACTACTTTGCAACTCAGAAAGCAGATCCTGGAGAAGTTGTCGAGAAACTTCTTTTAACTCAATGTGTTTAGAACTAAGACAGGAAATCTGCGACTTACAAAGTGAGTCCCCATGTTGTTACCATGCATGGGAGTACAGAAACACAAGACATTATTTCTGTTTTCTCCAGAAGATGACTCTTCTATCAGTTACTGTTATCTTCACAATATGACTAAGAATACAGAAGATCAAATGCCTCTGAAGGCAGGTAGGAAGTGAAATAGCTATGGCACACTTCTTGATTATTCATCCTTAATAAGGAAAATAGTTATTTGACAGTCCAAGAACCAATAGGGCCTGAGTATTGTCCACAGGTTAAGGATTCAATTTTGAATTCATTTAACTATGCAAACACTGCTGTTCCTGATGAACAGCCTCCTTCACAAAACCAGCCACGTACAAAAATATTGATTCACATGGAAGTGATTCACATGGAATCACAATACTGGAAAAAATATATATATATATATATAAATGTCCAAGACTTCTTGAAACAGCTTCGAGCCAAGGAAAAATGTAAATCCCTTAGATGGGAGATTTGATACAATCAAATGGTGTAAGATGGATGATGATGCATGAAAGTTATGAGAGCTCCATGATTTTGACAGACCCTTGCATGGATTGCCTGAAAGACCAATATGCTGTGCCAAGGCCGTAGAACCAATCTCTTGCCTATATTCAAAATCTGAGTTTCTATATTTGCAATGCACTGTTTGGCAAGAATTCTATCATTCCTTCCTTCCTTCTTCCTCCTTCCTTCCTCCCTTCCTGCCAATAGTAATCCCTGGTATCTTCAGGGGCCGTCCACTTTCAGAGCAAATAGAAAGAAATCATATGTCCTTGAAGTGCTCCTGTCTGAGATCAACATTGCTCATGAGTAGCAAAGACGAATTATAAGGCAGTATTTCACAGGCTGAGGCTACTGTACAGGTAACAATTAAAAGGAAAGAAAGATGGGAACAGAGGTCTTCCAGTGGCAGTGCACAGCCTGGTTATTATCCAAAGAAGTCAGTAAGGAAAGCTTTATTTTAACCCACAGATGTCAAGCCTGGCTTATGTTTAACAGGCCACAGACATCCACAATTTTCCTTTTATCATTTCCCTAGTCAATAAATTGCATAATTTCCAATGGATATTTTTTTCTCTTCTGTCACGATTGCTACCAGCTCTACCACTAGGGTTTACCATGTTTTCACTTAGTTACAGATTCTTTCTCTGACCCTTCTCTCTTAGACACAGATATTATCATGAAGAGCTGCTGAGAACCTCTCTGATTTTTTCAAGAAATTGGACAGAAGTTATGTTCTTTCACTTCATGCTATCTCAGGGATGAGTCTATGAAACCTATGGGAGGTGAGTGGGAAAGTGCATGGGGAGCCTCAGAGGGAATGTGTCAGGAACATCCCTGATTTACTCTCTACCAATCAACTATGGCTAATTCAACATCAGAGAGGAGCTAGGAATCCTCACTGCATCTAGTTTATAGTACGAGATTTCAAAATGGAATGGGAAACTGGTCCAAGGTTTGAGTCAAGGCCAGCAGAATGGTAGCAGTGACGTGAAGTGAAGCATAGTCAAGGCTTTGCCTTATTGATAACCTTGTTTATGATAGACTTGGAGGAAGAAGAACAGTTCAACTTCAGAATGAAGGGGAGAAAAAAGGTCAGTTGAGAGATGAGTTTACTAATTAACGTATAGCTCCTTTTGCAAGGATAATAGCATGGGATGTTTCAGCTGTATTGGCATTAATTCTCTAGAGGTATTCTATCTACTGCAAAAAGAAAATATATATTCTTTTACATGGGCCCTCTAACCTCTACCAAACTACCTAAATCAGAAAAGCAGGACACGTAGGAGATCTGGATTTGATATCTCCTTTTTTTTCTAAGTTGACAATGAATCAGAATGTATGACTTACAAAAAACCAATGTCAGGCAATAGGGAAGAAGGATTTGAGACTGCTTTACTTTTTAAATTAATTTACTATGAACTGAAAGCAGTTAACTTTTTTTAATAATAAGGCTTCTGCTGGTTTAGCATTCCTCTGCAGTCACAGGAAACCAAAATGCAGTGACCTGCTAATTCCAGACTTGTGGTATGCACATCTGGACCAGTGCCATCTCAGCATCTCAGCTGGGCACTGTTGCAAAAGGTAAATGAACAAGTGTGGCAGTGAAAAAATAAATAGGATTTTTTTAGGTTTTGTTTGGGAATAATAAATAAATAGGAATTTGTTTAGGTTTTGCTTCTCATAGAAATTGTTATGTCTTAAGTGAGGTGATGGCAAATTTTCTTTCTAACAACAATTTATGATTTTTCAGAAATATGTATCTTTCCCTAACCTGCTTTGGATTTTCTAGAAACAGCTGTTTTCAGGAAATAATAATAATAATAATAATAATAATAATAATAATAATAATAATAATAAATAAACGGAGAGAAATCTTCACACTTTGATTTGTTTCACATTTCTGCATTTTGAGATTTGGCTCTCAACTGCCAATATTTTTGTTAGCTTAATTAAAGCCAGGATTTTTAGAAATTGAAAATGTATGAAACTGTTGCACACATTTTATAGGCATTACTGTAAACATTAAAATAAAAATATAGCATCACCTTGAAAGGATGTAAATAACACAATTTCAGAAAGGGAATGAGGAAAGACAAATCTTTCCTCATTGCTCTCCCTCCTACCTTAACCTTTGGGAGAAAAGCCAACAATATAAATAGCAACAACTTCTCCAGCAGAACAAACCCCTGACATTTTCATAATTTAATTTTTTTTTACTAACTCCAGTTGCATCTAGGAAGAGATTTAATAGCATTTGACTTTCATAACACGGAGCCATGAAACACTTTCAGATTTTGAGAACTAATTCCAAGTGCTTTTAAGGGTACAAAAGAGAGACAGTCAACAGTTATCAAATCAGAAATGCAGCCCTGTGAGGTATTAAACTTAACTCTAGCCGTTTAGAAGAGAAAAACACCAAACACCAATAGATGCTTCACCAACTCACTTAAATCATGTTCAGTGCTCTGCAGTCTCACCGAAGTAAAAAACTCAAGCATATGCTGAAGGTAAACTAGCCCCATTCTATCTATAACATTAACAGAAATGAGAATTTTAAGTCTGTAACTTAAGGAACTAAATTGAATTGGGGCAAGAAATATCTACCCAGTCCCTTTGTCTTCCATGGGCTGCTCACATGCTTCAATCTAGGCATGTCATAGAGTGCTTTTGAGGATCCAGCCCCTCAGCTTTTGCTTCAAGGACACTGAATAATCCCTACACTACTCATGGCCCATAGAATGAGGTCAAGGAGAGGTGGGGATATAGGGAAGTGGGCAGGGACATGGGGAGAGAAAACAAACAGGAACTGGTGAGGGAAGGGGGAAATGAATGAGGGAAATAATAATAAAAATAAAAGAAAGTGGAAAGAAAGAAAGAAAAGAAGTTGAAATTAGAGGAACTAACATGGCGTTACTGGTGGCTGTGGCCGAAACTTCAGCAGAAGAAACTACTCCACACTTGGAACATTTGAGCGTCATGCCGTAAAGGGGCACTGCCATCTGACTGCAATTAAAACCAAAAGACTGAAACAAAACAAAACACTTTGCTCATGAACACAAACGTACAAAGGAAAGGGAAAGAGAAGCCAAAAGAAAGAAAGAACAAAGGAAAGAAAGAAGAAAGGGAACCAACCAACCATACCCAATTTGAAAAGAAAAATGAAAGACAGGCAGGAATAAAATTCTCTCATCTGTACCACTCCAGATGCAGGTAATGGGAAAATGTATGACTCGGAGGTATTGTTGGTGCCGCTGGAGAGGGTGGAACTGTGTTGGTGAAAGTTTTACCAGATTCAGGGTCTCTCTCTGGCACCCACGGAAGAGAAACCAGTACTGCTCTCCCAATCTTCACTTCCTTTTCTTTTTTTTTTTTTTTTTTTTTTGAGAAATTGCTCTTTTCCCTCTTGGCCTTTTTGCTCCAAAAAAAAAAACACGGTGGCAAGGTTGTACAGTAGAAGGCAAGAAGTAGGGCTGTGGGGACTACTTAGCTTGTTTCCCAAAAGACAACGTTTCCTCCAGTGGCCCTTGTGTGCAAGTCCTCACCTCAGTGGAGACACCCATAACATAGAATCATAGAATCACAAGAAAGATATTGAGGCCCTGGAACGTGTTCAAAGGAGGGCAACAAAGCTGGTGAGGGGTCTGGAACTCAGGCCATATGAGGAGAGGCTGAAGGAGCTGGGAATGTTCAGCCTGGAGAAGAGGAGGCTCAGGGGAGACCTCATTGCTCTCTATAACTTCCTGAAGGGAGGTTGTAGTGAGCTGGGGGTCGGCCTCTTCTCTCGTGTCATTAGTGATAGGACCAGAGGGAATGGTTTCAAGCTACGGCAGGGGAGATTCAGGCTGGACATGAGGAAGTATTACTTTTCAGAAAGGGTGGTCAGGCACTGGAATGGACTGCCCAGGGAGGTGGTGGAGTCACCAACCCTGGGGGAGTTCAAGGAAAGACTGGATGTTGTGTTGAGGTACATGGTTTAGTGGGAGCTGTTGGGAATAGGTGAACGGTTGGACTGGGTGATCTTTTAGGTCTTTTCCAACCTTGGTGATTCTATGATTCTATGATTCTATGATTCTATGATTCTATGATTCTATGATTTGTTCATTTAAGTTGAAAGGGACCTTTGAAGGCCATCTAGTCCAACTCCCCTGCAATGAACAGGGACACCTACAGCTAGATCAGGTTGCCCAGAGCTCTGTCCAGCCTAACTCTGAATATCTCTTGGGACATGACATCCATCCCTCTGGGCAACCTGTGCCAGTGTTTCACCATCCTTTTTGTAAAAAACATTTTTCTTTTTGGCAGCTGACAACACCAGGAGATAAGGTACTCTTTGGTGGCTTCATCTATGACTAAGAGCATGCACATACAACAGCTGCATATGTCCTTGAAATTAAGGGTGCTTTGCCAGATCATCAATTTGCTCTTGGAGAAGCCCTATGAGTTTTAAACTCAGGTAAGTGGACACACTGACTACTTCTGAGATATTTCTTCTCTCGAATCTTGTTTTGGAGCTGAAAATATCTTTGGGATGAACCTTGAGACTTGTTCATGTAGGTTGCTCCCTCTTTCTGGAGGAGATCAGCCATAGAGACAAGCTGTCGTGGGCTGCTAGTACATAATGTGTTGAGGACTTAGGGAAGGTTATGTCCACAGTTTTTAGATGTTTATACGTATGAACAGCCAGCTGTTACTTGGGAGCTCAGAAGCCACAGAAGCTGATGACTGGCCCCTTTTCCTTCCAAAATTTACTGCTTCTCACTCACTTCCTTGTTTGCACAGATCCATGCTACCCACATCATATCTGGCATACAAAATGGGCAGGAGACTGCAAAGTATCCTACAGACCTACACACAGTGCCTGATGTCAGAGAAGCATCAGTGATGGTAGCATGTCTATCATTCCTTAGTGATGGCAGTGAAGCTGATGATGTTTGGAAGTACAAGATCTTGGGTTTTTACAGCTGGGAGAGAGATTAGGAAACTTAGCTGATGGTTTCCTAATATTTATGGCTTTGTGTGCAGTCTCACTGCAAAAAGAAAACACCTATGAACACCAACACAGCATTATCAGTGTTCCTAGTGGTCATTGAGCTTAATTTAATGGCTATTCATTGTCTTTGAATTAGTTACAGTGACAGAAGCCATCACTGCCTTCCAAAATAACAACTCATAACTAAGATGTCTCACAGCAACTTTCAGCCTTGAGACACAGAGAAAATCAGTTCCCGTGTCAATAAATTCCTATCTTCCAGGCAAAATGGTGTAAATCCAGTGAGGACAATGGCTGAACTAAAGATAAAGTGGGTCTTGAGAGGCATTAAGTGCATGACCCTTAAAAAAAACATGGTCCATCCCCAGACCTATAAGCCACAAAGAACAGATAAGCAGAGAGACAGAGAGAGGCAGAGATAGGCAGCAAAAAGAAAATAGATTGATTCAAGGAATTTGATGGAAAACTGTACCAGAGAAACATGAATGACACTGAATCACAAAGAACCAGCCAAAAGACCACTATAACACACAACTGTAATTGCTGTTGGGTGCATTTATGCAGAAAGTTGTAAGCAGTAAGCACAGATGTGGGTACATTTGTCTTCAAATTCGTTCCGCTTTGGGGTTTGAGGTTGTTAATATATTGAATTTCCATGCTAGGTTTATATTGGTGCATGTATGTATGATAGGGTAGCTAATGGAACAACCACAGTGAATAATGCATTCATTTAATTTAGCTTTTTCTTCCTCTTAAATATCCACAAACAACTCACAGACTTATTAGGTGTGTACTGTGGAGCCTGGACTTTGCTACTAGATACTGAACAGTGCTTTACCACCACGCACAGCTCATTTTTCCAACATGAAATGCTTCCAGATGAAGGGCAATCCAAATCTGTTCCTATTTTAATATAGTGATTATCTTCCCAATTATTTGTCTTGGCACTAACCATCCAGCTCTGTCATACCCAGCAGCACACACAGAGAATGTTTCACAAGGTGTTGGAGAAAAGTTTATCAAGTCAATCAGCAGAAGGATAAAAGAAGTAAAGCTCCTCTAAGGGACAAGTTGGGAAAACTAAACAAGGCTCCTGTCTCTTTCCAATGGCTACAAAGGAAGCCTGGGGAGATTAAACTCAGCAGGCTAAAATTAGCCTTTGTGAATACACCCTATAGTCTCATTCTTCTTCCCTGACTGCATAAGCACACAAATGCTTCTGGAATAAACGTTGGCTGAATAAATTTAGAATTCATTTTAAAGGTCCCTGCATCCAGCATGAAAACATTTGCTTTTAGTAGCACTCATGTCAACAAAGACTAAAAATGCTATTGGTGCCGCTGCCTGCAGAAGGAGGATGGTCAACCTCCTCCAGAAGGAGGATGGGGAAATACTGGAGCACTGCAAGCAAGTATTTGCTGAGAACCTCTTGCAGGGTTTTCTCCCCATCTCTAGCACAGGATATTTGCTTAGAAAGGATTTGTGGCATCCATGTGCAATGTGCAAGCTCTTCATGCAACATCTACCTTTCCGTAGCCTCATTTTCTGATATATGTATAAAGATATTTCTGACAAATGCCTTTAGAAAGTCAAAGTTTCATGACATCAATAATCACAATGATTTCCTCTGTTAACTCTAGGGCAAAACTTATTGTGTCTCAGATATTATTTTGCAGAAGCTGTTAACACTACTTCATTAATGACAACCAATCTGTGGTATATGTGCTGGGCTCCTCATTCAACAGGTCAATTTCCCCTCCTTTTTTGGGAGGATTTCCCTTTTTTTTTTCTTTTTCTTTTTCTTTTTTTTTTCCAACACTGAACCATACTTCTTGCCTCTGCTAAAGGAAACACAATGTTTCTTTATACCATCTCCTCAGATCCAAACACGTCCGAGGCCATGACTCAGTCTGATTATCTTCAGATCTACCCTCCAACACGGTTCCCAAGCCCAGGCCAGAAGCGGCTAGCTAGAGAGAGGGAGCATCGGGGATCCCAAAAGCATCCCCCCAATCTCAGCGGGTGCACTTGGAAAGGAGAACAAAATCACTTAGCACAGAGAAGGCTTAAAAGTGCTGCACACACACACACGGACATGAAAGGGGGGAAAAAAGAGAAAAGAAAGAAAAAACAAAGAACATCAGAAAAAGGACTTTTTTTTTTTTTTTGCTTTGTTGGCTTTGTTGTCAAAGTGTAACTGTGAGTGTGATCAATAACCAGCTGATAGGTATTAAATAAGATCCTTCTGTGTGCAGTTTAGCGTAAAGAGGGACAGGCTGATAAGCAGCAACTCGCTGCTCTGCTAATCCAATAAATGATTTATTTCAGCATTGACTTTCCAGTGTAATTACCTTTCTGTGGACTCTCCCTGCAGTTAAGGTATTTTCTTGAGTTCTCTTTGTAAAAAAGGCATCAGCCAGAATAAAGCATTTCCTTGCTAGTGGTTGCTTAAAGCAATGCACTAAGGTCACTTACTCACATACATATTTAACCCAGCAATAACACATACCTCTGATCACCCAAAAGGACTTAATTTTCCTCTTGTAATAAATATCTTACGTAGGCATCAAGATTCCTTCCTCGTTGTACCAAGGAATCATACCATTTGGCCAGGTCAACACTGTAGATTAAATGTGAGCCTTCTCTTGTTCCTTCTTCTCTGGCTAGATAAGAGCTTGCTTCTGCTCTCAGTTTTGATGTCATCACTAAATAGCTGCACTGTCAGTAGTTTGGAGGTAAGCCAAGGGAGGGCCTTGTGTGGTTGCTGCCATACTGGCTACTGTCAAGAGCTGTGGAACAAACTCTTCTGTTACACTACAGAGTAAACCACTTAGCACCAGACCTGGGCTTCAGGGATGGAGGTTTGAGTGGTGACTGTGGAAAAGATAGAGAATTTCAGGAGGTAACAGAATTTCTTCTTGCAGAAGAGAAACTTTTCTCTACTGACCACTCATATACTAATCTGTTCACTTGTACACCTTCAAAACCCTTTCCTTCAAAGCACTGTGTACCTTTGCCATCCCTCAGCCATCTGCCAGCTGCTAGATGCAACCCTGCTGTCACACAGCCCATGCCACGTGCCAAACTCAGCAATGACACATCCCTCTCTGATCCAACTAATTCTCCTGAAGTTAGTGAAAAGAATCACTGTCTTTGTCCCATATTTTGGAAGAATATGTCAGTTTAGGATGAAGCCTTTTTAACAAAGAGCTGAATTCAATCTCTCCCTTTATCAGCAAGGTACTGTTTCTTGTTTTGTTGTTTTGTTTTTGGACTCTGCACTGAATAACAAGGCAGAAATATTAATCCATGGATTTCTTTGTTTGTTTGTTCCATTTTGTTTAAAACTGCTTTTGCTTGTTTCCATCTCCAATCTCTCTGTCTGTATTTCTCACCTGGTTATTGACCACAACCTTGTTTTTTTGTTGTTGTTGTTTTTTGTTTTTATTCTTTACTTAGATGTATTGATAAGGCATACCCTGCCCGTTCCTTCAGTTTCTTATCTGTTATTCCATCTTTGGATACAAGTTTGTTAAAAACCAGAATGCCAATAACCATGTTCACCTGTTGAAAGAAAAACAACACACAGTTTTGTTTTCAGGTGGAGCAGATCACACTCAGCAGTACAGAAGGAACAAAAGGGCAAGCTGAGCCCTTTTTTCTTCCCAAAGCTGGGTGACAGTCACATCTCTGCAGGCCACCACCCCTTTTATCCCCTTACCATCCCACCTCCCCTGGGCATCAATCTGAGTTCAGGAAAGCAGAATGAAGCTGGCAGCAGCTCAGAGAGGTCTGCAAGGGCCACGACAAGGCTGTAAAGTGCTCAAAATGCTGCAGGCCTCATAAAATTACAGAATCATTTGAGTTGGATGGGACCCTTAAAGGTCACCTTTAGTGATAGTCTAACTCCCCTGCAATTAAGTTACATCTGCAGCTAGATCAGGTCAAACGTATGCTCAAGAGTGAGCCAAACTCAAAGCATAAAAATATTTTTTCAGGATAATACAAACTGAATGTGGCCAATGCAGGGGAAAGAAGTGGCATGACACAATTTCAGAAGTGTTTTTTTAGAATCTGTGGTCCAAAAGCAGCAGCACTAATAGGATAGCGTGGTATGCTCCAGATGGATAGTCGTCATTTCTGATCAGTGAAGCACCACTGCTGCTCTCAGAATTAAGAGGTGGAGAGCCACTTGAGTAAGCAGAAATATCAGCTGCTATGGTAGGATATCTTGAGAAAGACTGCAGATTGCACAGCTCATGGATTAGCCATCTATCCATTTCCAAGAAATTAGTAGGCAAAGCAACTTTACACAGCCCTTCGTTCTGCTTTGTTAGGGCAAGAGCACAGATGTCTGTATCAGTCAGGTATAAAATTCACAGAGAAATACAAGCTGTGCAGAGCTAAGGTCTTTCAAAGAGATGTTGAACTCCTCAGTGCTCCATTTTTATTCTATTCACCACTGCCAGCTGCATCAGTTTTACAAACCCCATGCAAACCTCAGCAACCTCTGAACATAACCACTTAAGTGATACACAAGCATCACCTCTTCCTAGGGGCACAGTGCTGATGGTGGAAAAAAGTGGCATTCTCCTGGTTTTGTTGCCAGTGAAACAGCTGGTGTTGGTAGGACGAGGTACTAGATGCTCTTTTGGACATTGTGCTTGCAAGGAAACAATTCAGGTCAAATTCAGATAGATGCACCATTAGATGTTAGGTAAGAGCCCGAGTGAGTTTAGAACACCCTTGAGAAGTAGTCCTAATGAACAACTAATAGAATCATAGAATTACTGAAGTTGAAAAAGACCATTTTAGTAGATTATCTACTCCAACCATCAAACCACCAAAGAACACACAGCCTATAGGAAAGACATTTCTGCTCACACTAAGCCTTCATCTAGATGCCAAAATCATTCTCAAGACTGAACAACCCTTCTGAGTTTGCTCTGCTGATTTCATCAGGACACGACCCAGCTTTCTGATGTGGAATCTACAGCTAGCAGCAAATAGAAGAGCTCCCAAATAGCAGTTATTTTCTTTTGTATCAGCTGTTGGGTGAGTGGAATACTTTCCACAGCTGTCAGTCCATTTCTAGAGCACACCATTGTTTTGTTCTACAGACACAGTGCTGGCAAGTCACACGCAGTAACTTGGCTAAGGATCAGCAAGAAAACAAACCCCAGTTAAGTGCATACTTGTGAGCACACTTGCAATTCATGTCTTTCCTCAATGCTTGATGCTTCTGAGCATGATGTCCTCTTCTTTAAAGTACAATATGAGGTTGAAGTATTGCAGGCTGCATACCTATTAGGGTTTGGCACAACAGTGTTCATCCTCATTCATTTATGGCAGGAGAGATGAAGAACTGTAGCTCTGTAATTGCATCTCTGCAACAGGCTTTCAACCTGTGCATCATCAGGGCGCCTCACCTGAGTTAGAAGTGTGAAACCACTTGCAGCAGCCCTGAATTTAAATGTCCTGGGATTCTTAAAGTTAAAAGCATAGACAATAAACCCAGCTGGAGCCAAGTCAGCTTTGTGTGAAGTCATTTGGGTGTCAACATATCATATTTCTCAGAGTTTCAGGTGAGAAAGAGCTGCTTAGCTCAGGTGCAGAGCCAGGTCCCATCTTGTTCTGTGATCCCTGCGCAAGAGCAGGTGCATTATCTGGAGCAATGCTGTCCTGAGTAGTAGTACAGCTGCATATCCCTCACACAGCCTTGTGAGAGCCTCACTGTCCTCATACGGAGCCAAGGTGACCCTCCATATCTGGCATGGCCAATCTGAAATCAGGACAAAGCATGCACAAAAGAGACAACTGTCTGGTCTCATACACAGTGCATACTTGAGAACTGTGTATTCCACCTATGCTCTGCTACAAAGCTATAGTGTGAATTTTGTCAGCTCGGGTTTCCATTTACAAAAAAGTGCTCAATGCTTATTTCTCCTCCTCTTCCCCAAGTTCCTCAGGATATAGGTACATTACCTCATACCTCTCTTGGGCATCACTTGCTTCTCATTTAGCTAGCAATGAGTCAGGTAGTATAAATGAGATGTACAGTCGCCTTCTCTAGGCAATGAAAAGAGACAGACACCTCCAGAGATGACTCACCACTTCCTAAAACCTTCTATATGAACGAGCATCTGCAGGTGTTGACCTCACTGTAAGGTTATCTCCAATTCCACCTTTGATGATGAGTGAAAACAGAGATGCCAAATGGAAGCAGGGTAGGAAAAGCTGAAGGATTACTTCCCTTGTTGTTGGCACAACAAAAGCAAAACAGGCAGGAGACTGACTGCTCTTTCTCCAGGCACAATAGTTCACTCCCTCCTAATCACCGCTGTCTATTGAACACCCTAGCCACTGAGCCAGAGCTATCTGTTACTATGTTGCTGAGCAGAGGTAGTTCATCTGAAAACACTAAGCCACTTAATACTGCTGTCAGTTATTCCAGCAATAAGGAAGACTCTAAGCCCATCAGCAACATTACTGAACAAAATCCGACTACTGCATGCCTACAGGAATCTAATGACTGGTTAGCATGTACATCTGCATATTCCCACTCTTTGCTGATGGCTACCCAAAGGCTCAGCTATGTGTTGTATCAATGCTAAAGAAAGACTGTAAGAGAGAAAAGCTTTGCTTTATTGTAGAAGAGGAGCAACTGATGACTTGTTTCTTTGACGTCATGATGACACCATGGTGGCTTGATGTGCAGTGACAGCAGTAAGAATAGAGGCAGCAAGAAGTTTTGTGTAGCTATTCTCCTGTAAGCCTGCTCCTGCTACAGGGCAGTTATTCCCCTCAGCACTGCCTGAAACAAAAAACAGATCCAAAAAAGAAACTGCAAATGTCGACAATTCCATTCATATGGGATTCTCCAGGGCACATGAGACAAGACCAAACAGCTCCTCCACTGGATAAAACATTGGGTTGAAGAGAAAAAAACAGACTTCCACTTAGATGGGTCTACAAGTGTCATTAAATGTGTCTGCAATTGGTGAAGAAGGGATTTCCTAAAGGGACCAGCAGTTTACAAAGTCTTTGAACCCTGACAGTCAAGATTTCTCATGATCAGTGAGGCTTCAACAGCAGGGAAGCTTGATGAAAAGTCTGTCATCACTTCAGTGACACCTTCAAATCAGATAGTAACTGACTGAGACAGGTTTTGGTTTTGGGTTAGAGTCAAGGGATAGGGGACAGGAGGACAGTGGGACAGAGTTAATGAATGCCTACTTGAACCACACCATTTCTTTGACCAAGAAACAAACTTGATGTTTTTGGAGCCGTAAAGGATCCCCTCAGCATTGTTTTTCAAAGACTTCCATTTCACGTGAGAGCAAGGAAGCTACTCAGATTTCATGGACATCTGGGACAAATGAAGAATAAATGCTATCAGTGGAGACTCTACTTGGTCTAAGAGCAGCCACTAACAGTAGATTTTGAAGGAGATAATGTCATAATTTTCCACCACCATTCTGCACTTCCATCCAGACAGGCCGATAAAAAGCTAAAGCTTTATCCAGATGTCTAGGGAACTCCAGAGAGGTCAGAGGTAAAAGTCTGGTTGCTGAGGTACACTGCATTTCAGACTTAAACCCATCCCAAATTGCTGGCTTCTAATACTCTGTGTTTTCTTCCTGAAGGATAAAGTTATTAAAAACAACAGTAGAAAGAGAGAGGAACACTCTTGGGTTGAAAGAATGAGGGAATTCTTATAAAATAATAATAATAATAATAATAATACAAAGAGAAAGAAAAAAGATTTCGAGACAAGCTCAAATACCAAAACAACAGCAGCAGCAGGTCCCACGAAGGCATAGAGAAGACCTCCCTCTAATGACAGCCAGCAGCTGGAAAAGTAAGAAAGAAAATTACTTGGTAGCTTGCACCACCATCAAAAAGATGCATGTTTTGCTGCCTCCCTTTGCCTGTGAAGTTGATCTCAGGAGCTGATACCCCACAGTAAAAAAGTCTCAGAATTTACAGCAAGCAAGGTTTGCTTTTTGTTTCTCCTGTACTTGCACAAAGGCCCAGTTGCCTGGGGGTCTGCCCGCAGAGCCATGTTTGATAATCACTTGATTGTTGACAGAGGAATGCATGCAAAATTCATGCGATGCTCTGTTTCAGACCAGGTCCTGCTGGAAGCTACAGCATTACTTTGTGAGCAAGATAATTCTCTTGTCATGCTCGCTCAGGCAAAAGAGCAGATTTGTTCATTTGCTAACCAGTAGGCCTAGGGGGAGCTCGGATCCAGAAGCATAGTACATTTCTGCTCCTGGATCTTCCCTCTGGGCTTGCTGCCATGGGGAAATTTCACAGCTCAGCAGCAAGGTGGGAATTCACTGCTTATGTAGATGTTCTTAAGCTGAAAGTGAGGTATTGTCATGCCTGCTTTGGAAACCAACATGTTGCTCCTCCCTCACATCACACAGCCTGAGAATCATAGAATGCCTGGGGTTGGAAGGGATCTTAAAGTTCATCTAGTTCCAAACTCCTTGCTGTGGGAACTGTTGCCACCCTGCAGATCAGGCTGCCCAACCTGGCCTTGAACACCTCCAGAGACTGAGAATCCATATGACTCACCACCCTCTGAATAAAGAATTTCCTCCTAATATTTAATCAAAATCTCCCCTCTTTTCATTTCAAGCCATTCCTCTTTGTCCTGTCACTATCATATTTCTCCTCTCTCCATTAACTTTCTGTGGAATTTGGGCTCCTAATCTGCCTGGTGCCTACACAGCCCAAGGAAATCTTCTCATTAAACAATGATGTCTATCATGTCAGTGCCTATCATGGAATCCAGTAGGCCTTGATGACATTTCTCTTCAGTGGAGATCCAAAGGAGTCTTTCACTGAACTCCACTGACTGCACTGACCAGACTTTCACCACTTGAATAATAACAGCATCATAGAATCATGCAATCAATGCACCTAGATCAGATGGAGACCTCCCATCTCTCAGGTTAACACTATAAATGTGCTACAGGAATCTCCATGGAAATTCTACTGCACTGTACATCCACATGCAGATCTCACTACGCATTAAAATCCCCTCAGAATCATAGAATTACAAGGGCCTGGAAAGGAAAGGGCCTACAAGATCATCTAGTCCAACCATCTTGCTGTCACCATTATTACTCACTAAACTACAAAACCTTATCTTGTAGCACCTCATCCAGATGCATCTTGAACACCACCAGGGACAGTGACCCCACCACCTTCCTAGAAATACTGACAAACCCACTCTAAAGAAAAACAGGTAAGAGAAATATCTGTTTCTCATCAGCTGAATGTGACAGGATGGCCAGGTAGACAATTTTCACATTTGAACATAAAAACAGGAAGGAAAAAGGTTTTTTTTTAAGGAAACACTTTCTCATTGTGAAGGTGACCAAGGAGGTTGCCTAGAGAAGTGGTGGAGTGTCCCTCCTTAGAGATCTTCAAAATTCATTTGGACACTGTCCTGGGCAACTTCTTATAGGTGTCCCTGCTTGACCTCCAAATGTCCCTTCCAACCTCAACCATTCTGTGATTCTGTGACAGTCATGAATAGTTAAATCAGCACTGGAGCTGGATTTCCATTTCATGGGGAATGCAGGAATTTAGAATATGGATACTTAAACTTGGTACCTTAGAGCATGAGATGAGAATTTACACTGTGTCAGCAACCCCATGGAAAGTTTGCACGCTTAGACATGGCAGTACTCTGGAGTAAATGTGCAATGGAGTAATCCTGTTTCAACAGTAAAGTACCATGCATTTACCAATGGATAAGAGCAGGCAACCACAATGGAACAAGGACTTCCTCAAAGCACTTAAACCAGCTAACCCTGCAGTTATTCATTTCTGTGCTTGTACTCTCAGCAATATCATTTCATTCTGCATCAAAAGAAACACTGCCTTTCAGACCTCTCCCAGGAAACAAAGCCTTCCTGGAAACATTTCAATTTTGTTGATCAGCTTCAATTGTTTTTGTATCAGACCTGACTTCCAACTATGTTATTTTTCACCTTAAAATTCAGAACATTTGGAGAAAAAAGAAGAAAAAAAAAACAAACCAAACAACACAAAGCATTTCAAATTGAAAATAGAAAGCAGGATGTTCTGACTTTTTCCAAGTCCTGAATCTTGTTTATTTCTAAATTAAAGCTACCACATATTAATTTAATCAGTTCTGATTTCTTCCTGATAACAAGTTGCTCTCTGAGACACTGTCTGAGCAGGTGTAGTAATAGAATGAATAATCAGGCATGGAGGGAGGAAATGGGAATGCAGTGTTGGAGGGCTGTGATGACTGAAAGTCTTCATGAACGCAAGGACAGGACAGAGGGAGAACCAGGTGGGCTCCCAAATTGCTGAGCTTGCCCCCAAATCTTTTGCTTCAATGTTTAATCCTAGCTTTAAGAATACTTTTCCTTGAAGAAGGGAGCAGACAGTCCTGCATTCCAGTTAGCAATGAGGACATGGCAAAACGAGGGCTTTTATTCCCATCAGGTCCCCAGCAGCCCCTCTTCCCCCTCCTTGAGCTTTCTGAAGTTGGGTTCACACATCACCAAGCACTGGCCCTTATTCTTTCTGACTGTCTGATCTCCCTGTCACAGCATGTAATCAAAGTGTTTCCTTCCAAAACTGTCAGAAGTGGTGGCTGACAGCGGAGAAAGGAAGAAGTGGTATTTGAGAAGGAGAACTGACAGCCAACTCCAGTAATATGCTAGTCTAGTTGAGACACTTCTATCCTTGTCCTTTCAAGGCACAAAAATATTAGCTTTTCACTAAGGGTACTTGCAAAGAGATCTCTTTGGAAATCTCTTAAACAAAATTACCATTGGAAGAAAGTGAGTAGTTTAACAATGATCAACTACCATTTCCAAGCTGTGCTTTCTAGATCAACAGTAGCTCTTGAGTCCAATACCAAAGACCACTTCACCACACATCTGGTTGTTTTGTGTATCATAATTGTTTGAGTTGGAAGGGACCTTTAAAAGTCATCTAGCTCAACTCTCCTACAAGGAACAGAGGCATTTACAGCTAGATCAGGGTGCTCAGAGCCCTGCCCAGTCTGACTTTGAATATCTCCAGGGACAGGAGATATTCCAACCACCACCTCCCTGATCACCACCTCTCTGCTATGACAAAGGTGTGAGATGAAGGGTTTTTGCCCTGGTCCTGCAAAGAGCTGACTTCCCACAAGCCCTTCCTGACTATATCCCACAGCTCTGCTTGCACAATCATGCACAAAATTAAGCACCCACAGTGTGACAACTAACATGTTTATAAAGCTAAGACTACAGCTGGCATTCAGGACTATACCACCAGTATTTCAATTTCACCAAAAAAAGTTACTGAGATATTTGTGGGTGTCCAAAGCCCTGATGCAATGGCAAAGAAGGACCCAGGGAAATTTGCTGTTTCCTGCCACTGTTCTTTGACAACAACTCCTGTGAGCTGTCTTGTGGGAAAGGATATGAATTTCCAGCACAACCTCAGTTGTTCAATTCAAGCTTTAGAGATACAGAGTCAGTCTCTGGAGTACTGGTTAAAGGGCATTTACTAGTGTCTGGTGAGTCTGAGGATACTCAAGGCTTACAGCACCACTCCTATGAAAACAAGCTGGGAAAGATGGAGTTGCTCAGCCTGAAATAGTGAAGACTTTGAGGAGACCTCAAAGTGGCCTTCCATATCTACAGGAAAGCTGGAAAGGCTATCTATCAGAGAGTATAGCAACATAGCAGGGACAGTGGTTTTCAACTAAAAGAGGGGAGATTTAGATTAGATATTAGGAAGAAATTCTTTACTGTGAAGGTGGTAAGGCACTGTCACAGGCTGCCTGACTACACAGGGACCCTGAGCAACCTGATCTAGTGGAAGGTATCTGTACTGACGGTGTGAGGTTGCAACTAGATGATCTTTAAGGCCCCTTCCAACTTAAACATTTCTATGAGATTATGACTTTACTCATTCAAGCCTGAAAATTTGAGACTTTCTTTGAGACTGGAAGAACAGTCTGTACCCTTCCTCTAGGTCCTCTCCAAACAACTACAAAATCTTTCAAATACAGTTCAGCTGAGAAAAAGGAAAAATCCTCTTGTCAGCCTGCACTCACTGTAAATGGAGAGTTCAAAGCCCTCCAGAAGAAGAGTCCTGAACTATACAGGCCTCTGGCTGAATGTCATCTGAAAAATTACCACTCACCAAACACCAGGGACCTTCAGCATCTATTTGATTTTTAATTTGAATCCCCCTCTCTACTTAAAAATCGGTGTCTGATCTGGCCAGCTGAAGTGTAGACGTTATCTCTGGTCCTCCCATGCTCAGAGCAGTCTCTGACTTCCCTGCAATATAGCTTGGAGGCATGATCAACCCTTCAACTGCTACCATGTCTCAGTGGAGCAAGATTCCAGATTACTTCTCAGTTGTCTGACATCATTACAGAATAGCTTCATCCATTAGCTACATCCACCCTAGAATAGCTACAATGACCAGGACAAAGCTGGATGAAGTAGGGTTGGAAGAATTTTTGAATGACAATGTAAAGCCCTTTGTGGACCATCACGTTAGCTCTTGTCCCTTTAGTTACAGAAAGTTAAGGCTAATGTCTTCTGTTATGTTCAGCAAAATGAAAGCTTGAAGGTCTATTACTGCCCATAAGAAATGCCCCCTGCATGCCCTATACTAGTTAAAAAGTGAAAGATCCTCTATTCTCCAGATTCAAGTTTTGCAATGATCATAAACCCTTCTGCAGTAGTCAGAAACCACAATAATCCTGGAACAAGATTCTATTCTGTATTCTGTTTGTCTTCAGCATTAAACACTGTTAAATCTGACTACTCTGTCTGAACAAACTCGAGTTTTCAAGTTCAGCTCTAAAATTACTGGTGTATAATATTGATTTCCTTCTAGAAGGAAGGTAAAACCAATACATCAATATAAGAGAGCTTTTATGCCTCTTGAAGAGGAAAAAAAAGGAAGTGTGCTGCAATGTAGGATCACCCTGTGTCTTGGCCTACTGATCTTTGCTTCATGTTATAAGAATGTGAAGTTCAGGTGCAAAGATGCTCATAAATCAGCCTGGAGAAGCAGCATGTGCCTGTGTGTGCCTTGTAGCATGGAGTCAGAGCAGGGATTGCTTAACAGGTGCCTGCAGCATGCTGCTTGGGACAGTGATGGGTTTGAGTTCACTCTAAGATGGCTCTTAGTAAAACCAACAGCAGGAATTGCAACAAGGCGCTAGTGCTACAAATGTGTGTCTGGGGGCTGTTTCCTGTGCTCATATTCTGCACATTTCCTCCTTCCTTTCAAGGCTCTTTTGTGTTCTCTTATGCTGACTGGTGCTGCATTCATGGGAAAAGATCTACCATGCTTTTAGTACCAGTTCACACCAGTCTATTCACAGGCATTAGGGACACAGCATGTATGCGGAAGGTTTTTCCTATGGAAAAGAGCTGAGTGCACATGTGCAAATTCACTCATGCATCTCATGAAGCCCTGCAGCAGTCACGGCTGATGATCACAGGAACTTGCAGAGGAGAGGAATGGACAGGCTGGCTGGGAAAGGAGCAATGTGGGAGCACGATGCAATGCCTGAGATACCTTCCTATTTCAGTGACAAGCACCCTGACAGCACGGCTAAGAAATTGTGTTCCTGAGTCTGTGGCTCCTGCTGGGAGCACAGGATCCCCTGCCACTCCTGGGCAGCCAGCCAGCCAGCCAGCCATAGAGGCAGAGAGGAAGGCAGCAGCCAGCCCCTGGATGCGAGGAGAAACAGAAACTGAAGGGCTAAAAGAATTCAGAAGACTGGCAGCAAAATGAGGAGCTGCTCTAGTTAATCATAGAGTCATTAAAGTTGGAAAAGACCTGTAGGATCATCTAATCCAACTCTACACTTACTACCAATATTGCCCACTAAACCTGTGTACCCTGGGAATGAAGGAAAGTCAATGCACAGCTTGTGGGACACCTCATTGATGTGCCAATCTGAGAGCAAAGGAGCCTGGCAGGTTTTGTTGTTTTGACACCCTTTTTGCTGCAGGCTGGGAGACTTTGTTCTGGGTCAGGAGGTGCTGGCATGCACAATTCAGGGCAGTGAGGCAGGGAATGATCATCTGCACATTTCCTCCTTCCTTTCAAGGCTCTTTTGTGTTCTCTTATGCTGACTGGTGCTGCATTCATGGGAAAAGATCTACCATGCTTTTAGCACCAGTTCACACCAGTCTATTCACAGGAAAGAAAGCAGAAATATTTGGAGCTTCCATCCATTACCTCAGTACCTCCTCTTTATAAACTGGGCTCATGGACTTGGAGGGAGGAAAATCCCAGAAGTAGCAGGTAGAATAGGAATTAGAAATGGCATTTGGGATCTGGTAGAAATTCAGAAAGAGCACGGATTCTGCATGACATTTTCTAAGTGGGCATACTGAATCCTCATCTATTGCTGACAACATCTCCAGCATTTCTTAAAGATTGTTTGTGTGTGTTGCAAAGCACAGGCCAGCAAGGCTCTGGACAATGATGAACTTGGGTAGGGAAGGGGCCTTATTTAGGGGAGGGGAGAAGAAGGGAGGGGAGGGGAGATGAGAAGAGAGGGGAGGTAGGGGAGGTAGGAGAGAGAAGGAGAGGGGAGGAGAGGAGAGGAGAGGAGAGGAGAGGAGAGGAGAGGAGAGGAGAGGAGAGGAGAGGAGAGGAGAGGAGAGGAGAGGAGAGGAGAGGAGAGGAGAGGAGAGGAGAGGAGAGGAGAGGAGAGGAGAGGAGAGGAGAGGAGAGGAGAGGAGAGGAGAGGAGAGGAGAGGAGAGGAGAGGAGAGGAGAGGAGAGGAGAGGAGAGGAGAGGAGAGGAGAGGAGAGATCAACCCATCTCCACTGTGCCATTCGTTTAACCAGTTCATATGAATTTGCTTATAAAAGAATACACAGTTTTCAGTCAGTACCTAGTCTCTGCTGGTATTCTATTAGAGATGATTCAGAAGCAAATGCAGATAAAATCTGAATGCTGACTGTTGGCATTCTCATCTTTATGGTGCAAACATCCCTCTTATTCAGACTGAACTAAGAGGGTTGCTTCTTGTCACACAGTAAGTCTTTCTCTGAAGACTTGCTATCCTAAGGTTTCCCCTGGACATTTGGGCAGGGATGAGACAAGTGCACAGCATTCAGATGAACTGACGAATTGAGGATGTCAGAAGGCTCCCTCAGCTCCTATCATTCCTACTTCCATGGGAAGCCAATGAGAATTTAGCTCCTACCTTTGTTCCTGTGGGCCAGTGACCATTTTTTTGACAAAATGATGGGAGATGAGACTGGAAAAAAAGAATAGGAAGAGGAGCCCCATTACTCACTAGTTCACGGTGCCGTACCCCTTGGCTTTAGTAAATCCCACAGAAATGGCAACCACCAAGGCAGGGAGCCCTATGGAAAATGAAACAAGAGAAAATTAGTTATTTTAACATACGTGCAGCTCTGCTCCAACTCAATCACTTAATATACCCCATTTCTCCCTGTGTTATTCTAGCACCATCTGTCCAAGCCTGGGCCTTTGGCAGAGTCTGAATTCAGGACCTTCAGAGCCAGAAGCATGAACCTTTGTTACGTCTGCTAATGAAGTTAATGCTGTCAGCTGTAATCAGCTCGTATCCTGCTGTGGTCTCAGCAGTTGTGCAGGGAATGATAGTACATGCAGATGCATAAAATTCATTTATTTTATTCTTAGGGATGCAGAACAGCCAGGAATATACCAGGACATTTCTTGGGGGTGGAATATTCAGGCACCACTTAACCCAAAAGAACTAGCAAGGCAGAGATTAAAAGCTGCATTTGCTCTTAACATAATATGTGAACAACTCAGGTTGAAATCTTGCTCCAGATGAGACAGAGCAGGAAATGGGAAAACTGTTCCCCCTATCCAGCTATATCCCTGGATGCTCTGGATCCTCTATACTTGGAGATGTTCAAGACCAGATCGGATGGGGTCCTGGGCATCCTGGTCTTGTACCAGATCTGGAGGTTGGTGGCCCTACCCTATGGTGGGGGCTTGGAACTTGATCATCTTTGAGGTCCCTTCCAACTCAAGCCATTCTATGATTCTATGAGTCTACGATAATGGAGCAAGTCCCTCTGAAGCACAATGGAAAGAAGCATCTGAACATCAGGTCTTTCTGCAAACCAGAGTATTTACTTTACGCCAGAGAGCTGCTCCCCTTTTGCACCCAAAAGGGGAACAAACTAAGAAAAAACAGCCACCTTGGAGAGAGGGCACACTTCATTATGAGTGCTACGAAGGATGAGCAGTTTGTGCCTTGGAGGCTATTTGATGCTCATGGTATGCAATTTGTCTTCATGATGTCATGAGCTAACAATACCAGCATGGGGTCTCATTTCAGGTTCATAAGGGGGTGAGGCAATGTCCTTGATCCTAATGCTAAAATCTCAAAAAAAAAAATGATGATAAGGAAGAAAAATAACAAAAACCTGCTGCTTAGTGTGAAATGCTGGACTGAAACTTAAAACTACTGACAAGGTTGGGTTTCTGAATACCTAGGCACATTTGAACTAATAAAAGATGTTGTATCCTGCTAACAGCCTACTTATCCTTACTATTCCTGCCTGGTAAAATGCTCTAGGATCTACAGAGGAAACTGAGTACTTCTCTGATTCACTATCCCCAGCGTGATTCTTTCCTTTCCCTATAAAAATGTCTGGGTGTGGTCTGGGAACATCTGGCTCTTCAGCTACGCAGGGCTCTGTGTGGCTTTTTATAGTCCTACTACTTCTAAAACAAAGCATTAAGCTGTCTCAATGCTAAAGATGGGCAAATCCCATTAGGAATTAGCAGGCTCAGTAGCCAGCTAGGATTAGTGCTTTTTGACAAGACCCTAATTTGTGTGCTGTAGAGGTCATAGCAGGCAGCTGTAGAAGATGCTGTAGTCTGTAGGGCTGTTCAGACACAGTATCCAAACAACTCTGCTGACAGGGTGGTTACTCAGCAATATAGATCGATGCAAAATAGATTAACTGCGAGGGTCAGCAAATAGTTGGGAGGTGCTAAGGCTGAGTAGTCTGGAAAAGAAAGAATTTCATAGAATCATTAAGGTTGGAAAAGAGCACTGAGATCATCTAGTCCAACCACCAACCTATCATCACCATGCCCACTAAACCATGTCCCTAAGTGCCACATCTCCACATCATGAACAACTCCAGGGATGGGGACTTCACTGATTCCCTAAGCAGCCTGTTCCAGTTTGAGAGTTATAAAGAAAAGACTTTCTCTTCCCATATGAGACATCCAAGCAGAGCTCATGTTTGAGCAGTCCAAAGCCATTGAGCAGGGGGGGGTTTCAGAATGTCTCTTTCTAAAGAAGTTCTGTAATGACTACTTTCCATCTTGCTGAGCTTTCTTCACAACTCATCTGGATACTTTGGACATATAACCTGCATGGTATTCACTGTAATGACATCAGGGTGGCATCCCATGATATGCACACTAAGAAGTCATAAAGGATTTTTTTAAGAGTAGAATATGATGCATGAAGCTCCGGAACGAAGAATGTCGGCTAAGACTCTGCCTGAAATAGCAACTTGTTCCTCACAAAGTACTTCTCTTAGACGTGATAATTATGCAGAAATGCACACTTAGGCTGTGAACTCATCAGATGTACAAGCTGCATTTATCGGAAAGGGGAGCTACACGATGGTAGTTAAGCCAACGAGCAGAGCAGTGAGGACTGCTGTATCTTTTGCCTTGGGATGTGATCAGATTAAAAATAGATACATCCAAATATTCCCAATAAACTTTTAATCTATTCTTGACTATTTGAAAGAAAGCTATTTCTAACTGGATTGTGCCATACACTGTGTGTGCTGTGGCCAAATTTAGAAGGGTTTGTGAAGAAAGTGAGTGCTACAGTCATAATTCAAAAAAAAAAAAGCATAGGAAAACTGATATGAAGATTTTTTTTCTGTCAGGACAGCAGGAGAATCATGTAATGAGATCACCACGTCCCATTAGAAAAAGTTCATTTGATAATAATGACTACCAAAAGCCATAAGTGTTACAAACAAGTGAAGACCCTGTCAGAACCTCAGCCAGGGCAACATTGAAAATCCAATTGAAACAATGGCATGGTGGTAAGTAGACTAACCAAATTGTTTCTTTTTCACTGGGACTAGATGTGCCAATTGAACTGTTTCTAGGGAACAGTTTGCATGTCTAAATAACTCTATATTTTTCTAATTGCAAAAAACCTCTTCTCTGAAAAGGCAAAATCGCACACACAAGAGGAGAACAGGAAACTGGGAGTAAACCTCACTGCTGATGAAAACCACAGCAGCTTCAATGAGCTACAGCTGAGAACTTGGCAAAGTTCTCCCACAAGAGTTGAAAAAATGTTAATAAGCAAAGGGGGGAAAAGGGGAGGATCAGCCCATTACAAAATGAATTCACAGAATCACTAAGGTTCAAAAAGACCACTGAAATCATCTAGCCCAACCATCAACTCATAGACTGAGATAATTATTTCAGATTATGCTCTTGAAAACTTATTTACCTCCTCTGCCCTCTTAGAGATGCCATTAATCCCATCACTACAGCTGAAGTCTAGGAGGATGCTAAATACCAGAAATTCCCTTGCTGCTTTAATAGGTGAGAGTGTTCTTCACTTTGTGTCCTAACCTATTCCAAACAGTTATTATGCACCATTTATCAGCCAGCACATCCTAGCCCAGGAATAGCTACATTTTACTAACAGTGCAAATTATGCTCCTACACATGCAGGCTTTTTTTTCCCTTAAATCTGTACAAATTACAATTATGAATGTCGCTCATCCAAAATTCCCTCGGCTAACACTCTCATCTGTCCTAGCATTTATAATCAGAAAACATCCCTTTTTATTACCTTTATTCTCTAGAGAAGCTGTCAGTCTTTTGCATTTGATATCCCTGATGTTCCTCAAGTCATACATACAGTGTTTGTATTGGAACATATGCACAAGCACAAAAAAGCACACAGTGCCTGTGTTTTGCATGTGTGTGGTTACAGACTTGCTATGCACAAGCACTGTATTTCAGTCCCACCATTTGTTTTGTCTCCTAAGCAAAACTTGAAGAGATGCAGGTGCTGGAAGGAGGATGGCTCTTGATGTGCAAAAATAAATCACATCAGGGCCCTTCATAACCATCGGAAATATCTTGCCTGGGGCAAAATGCTCGACTTCAGTAGTGAAATGAGCCACTAATACAGCTTAGAAGCACAGTGCTCTCTGATTCTCTCTTTCTCTTTTTTTCTCTGCTTGCTTTTGAGCAACTTTTTGTTCAGTCACTCCTTTCAAACACAAGCTTCATGTTGCTTTGAGAGCCCAGGTTACGGGTTTGCGTTTGTTTTCAACTACAGAATGCATCATTTAAAGCTAATAAATTAAACATACGGAAGAGGCAGAGGGAGGAAAATTAGTTACAAGCATCTGCACTGGTCTCATAGTTTATTTGTCTATGAAAGGTCCTGCTGCCATGGAGACAGTATTTCAGAGCTTGCTTATCCCTGGGTCGCACATGGAAGGAGACAGTGAGAGAAAAATAAAAGAGAAGCAGGGAAGAAAGCCAGAGCCAGGAGAACCCCCCCAGCCCCACTGTGCCCTTGGAATGAACACACAGCCCCTTCCCAGCTCATCTCCTTCATACTGCTTTTGGGTGGAGATAGCAGCTTTTGGCTTTTGCTCATTTTCAACCATCTGCGCCCTTTTTGACACAACTAAAGGTGTCAAACTAAGCTTTTTGCACAGCACCAATCCAGAATACTCTTTGATCTTCACGCTAGGATGGAACAATGTTGTTTGTTTTTGTTTTTGTTTTTTTCTCTCCCCTGGCCCAATGGAACTTCTATGCAGACCCACAATCCTCACCCCATCCGAGACACAAGAAGCGCTTGCGGATGATGCGGTTCCGTAACCGACCCGTCACGGCCATGTAGGACTGCCAGGCCTCGGTCAGCACCCAGCAGAAAGAGGAGAGGAAGAAGAAGTGCAAGAAAGCCGCCACCAGCGTGCATATCACCTGGAGAAAGGAGGAAAGGAGCACATATGAGAGGGGAGAAAGAGGAGAGAGGAGACAGGTAGGCGGAGGGAGCTGCTTCCAAATCGGGCTCTGGAAGGAAAGGAAGGTCACAGGGATCAGCAAAGGAAAAGACTTCTCAGGAAGAGGCAGCCTCCCCCTCGAGCTTTGACCTAGCATAGGATTGAAGTGTTTGTTTCAAATTTAAGCATTGCACAGCAACTGACTGTTCTTAAATGAGAGCTCCAAGCCTGTGTTTAACTATTTTCATACAACGATAGAATATCCCAAGTTGGAAGAGACCCATATGGATCACTGAGTCCAACTCCTGGCCCTACACAAGACCACCCAAAATTCAAACCCTATGTCTGAGAGCAGTATCCAAATGCTCCTTGAATTCTGGCAGCTTGGTGCCATGCCCACTGCCCTGGTGAGCCTTCCATGTCCACCACCATTTGGTGAAGAACCTTTTCCTGATCTCCCACATGACCTTCCCTGACACATCTCCATACTGAAGTTTGAATCCATGCCTTGTCCTTGTGCTGTTTGGCTTCAGCAGTATACATTTATTTTCCAGTGATCAAATCAAATCCCTGATGCTTTCAGAGAGGATGGAGCAGTTATTAAGCTGTGCACTAATCTCAGCTCAAAAGGATTGCAAAGCACCGTACCATCGGTGCTTTGCAGTAATGAAATCAGAGAAAGGCAATTCAGACTGGGAAAGATGGCTCTTTGCAAAGAAACATAGTTAAGGTGTGAGAGCTGGGGTAAAAACATGGCTGGTAGGGGCTTGGTAAGGGCTGAAAGCGTGATTTGTCCAAGAGCACGTAGCTACTAGAAAAACGGGGGGGGGGGGGAAGGAAAAATTAATGAAATGGCAGAATAAATTTCATAATGGTGAGCTCTACAACTTGGCAAGGAAATCTCTCAAGGGACACAGAGAGAGCTCAAGCCATTTAAAATTAAACTAGGGAAAGTACTAGCAAATGCATTATGGAGAACAATCCTGTAGTGGCGGGGAGATGGGCTGGAAAGCTGACAAGCTCATCTTTGTTTTTAACTCAGCAAACCCAAATCATTCACTGGTGCAAATTGGTGCCGCTCTGTTAACTCTGCCAGGGCTATGCTTAATTTGCACCATTGGAGAAGAAGAAACTGTGAATGAACGTGAAACAAAATGATGGAGAGAAACTCCCAAAGAGAAGGGAGAGCAAATAAACTTTAAAAGTGACTCTGGGTGAAAAAAAAAAATTGGCTTAAGGCATTGAGGACAGATGGGGGTGGGAGTGAATAGCGAAGAATTTCTCCGCTTTGAGTTATATCAGGAAACATGGACTTTGGGTTTACGGTCACTGAACCTTCCTCTTTTTTCATCCACCAGCATCTTTCAGCAGAGAGCTCTCATGCACCAAGCATCTTTTATCATGATTTTATTGAATTGCCCTCAATTCATACACTGGCACTGACAGACATTATCAGAAGTTGGGAATAAAAGTTAGACGTTGCGTTCTTTGAGACAGGAACTGCCTTTTCATTCCGTATTTGTATTTGACACAGAAACCTTTAGTATTCTGTCTGCAAGTACATGACAGTTCACTACAAATAGCCCAGCTCAATGTGATAATTTGAAGTAATTTTCATGTTTTCAAAAAAATCTTCCAAAGGTGGTTGCTATGCCTCAGCTTACAGGTCTATGTAAAACAGTTACAAACAAGTTACTTCCAGGAATGTACTTTAAGAAATTTATATTTTACAACTGTTTTTTTTTTTTTTTTTTTTTAACTACTGCCAGAAATGACAGCATCAGTTTATCTGAGCTGATTTTGTTCTGCATCAGCAGTGTTTTTCTGCCCTCTTTGCCAGTAGTTTGTAAAGGGGAGAAAAGACCTCTGCTTTCCATTTTTCCACCTGGGACATTTATTTTCCAGAAATACTCACTCAACTAGGTAGTTCTGAGGGAAAGGGGAAAAGAAGAGAGAGGAGCACCACAAAAACAATGCACATTTTTGACAGTGAATGGCCCTCATTTAAAATCCATTAAAAACAAGCAGATAATTTTACTCAGATTTGGGAACAAGAGAATTTTCCCTCTTGTTTTCCCAATTTCCCCAAGGAGATATGGTTGTAAAGGCCATTAGTCCTTGTTTTTCTAAAAGAGGAGAAATTTGCTTCCATCCAGCACATAGCCCCATCTTTGAGATACACTGAATTCATTTCTTTTGTATCACATTATTGCTGACTGTAATTTTTTAGCCTTTTCCTGGGCCTTTCATCTTTAAAAAGCGTAGCAAATCCAGGTGTGGAGTCTTGCCTTTGAGGTTATGCAGACAAAAATGACAGGAGTATTTGGCATTTCCCAGGAAACTAGTACTGTAGAAATTCTCCTAGTGTAACTGCAATTATAATTCAATCACTAATATTTTAGGAAGCTCCACTATCAATGATTGAATGTGAATAGGTTCCAAATTTACAGTCTTTCATCCCTTCTTTGTTCAGTTTTCTTTCTGTGCTCTGTGATAGAGACTGTTTACTAGACAGCAGAGTGGAATCCCAAGAATAACCTTTCTATTTATGGTGTTTCATGCATATGTATGTCCAAAGAACTAATCTGCCTCACACAATTAGAGCCGGGAGCTTTGAATCCTCACTAACAGCTCTGACACTTAACATCCAAAGCAACTATGAGAAAAAGTGTAAGAAGGAAACTGAGCTCCCAACTGTTGTTAAGGAGATGGGAGAGGGTTAACAATATCCACTTCTTATCCTGGAGTGAAGAAGGATAACCAAATAGGAGGTCCACTCATGGTCGGACATGATGAGCATCTCTCAGTCTTCCTTCTATGAAAAGTTGCTCCTCGCACACACTTGGGGTTGCAATGCACCCTTAGAATAGCAATACAGAGCTGATCACCCTCTTCTCAATTCTCGCTCCAGGCAAACTATGCTGACCATGAAAGACAGTTCTGCTTTGCAATGCTTCTGAACAGTGTTGGTTTAAGAGCAACAGGGCCACTTGTCTGCATCTCCCCAAAATTTTCTCCACAGGTATGACTCAAGTAGCTGTAAAGCTTTCTTTAAAACATCACCCTGCTCTGACCTAAAAGGCCTCGCATAGCAATGAATCTCTGTGATTCATTAAAGCCCGAGGCTTCTCTGCAGAAATGCTTCCAAAAGTGACAGCATGCTCTGGATGTCAAGGTCCAGACTCGAATAAATTGGCTGGTTACTGTTAATTAAAAGCTAGATTTTGATTTCTGATCGTGACTTCAGCAGCAGGAGGAGCTGGAAGACACTTTTGGCCTCAGTTTTCTGCTTAGAGGAGTTAATATGGCTGGAGCACTTGAAGAGCGAGGAAGATGTACAATAGGAAAATATTAAACATGAGCAGTGATTTGTTATGCTAGCTGCCAACAGAGAAAGTAATTTAGCTGGAGAAAAGTCATACAATAACATAACACCTCTCCATCTGCATCTCTAATGTGAAAAGCCATGATAGTACCCTGCAATCTATGCCCATGGCTTGAAAATCCATGCTCAGTTCTCATCTTCACTGCTCAACTGGCACTGTGACTTCCAAGTCTCTTGTGGTCTCAGCTCTGCAATGTGCATGATGTGCACAGCGACGCTTCCCACTCCAAGAAACGTGTTCTTGGTGGCTGCTTTCCTTAACATCTGCCAAGTGCTTTAGGCTTGGAGCATAAACGTTGCTGTAGAAATAAATGTAATGCTGAGATGCTGAGTGTTATTGCTTTTTTAGCTCTTTCTCAATCTGTCTTCCTTTGTAATTTTTGGAAAATAAAATGGTTAAAGCCTCGCAAATAACCATGTTTTTTCACCGTGCCATGTGCCAGCTACTCTAGGCAGATATTCAAAAATATCACATTGGTTTTAATCAAAGCCCTGAGGATGCTGACAAATTATCAAAGAGCGAGTGAGAGAAAATTGAAATCTGCCATTTAGTCATGTCTTTGACACGTCGCTAATTAACAGATGGAAGAAAAAAGAGGAAGCACTGCTGAGCGGATTGTTTCAACGCTAAATCAGGAGCAAAGCAAACAAACAAACAAGGTCCAACGTATCTCCTACCTTATTCCGCGTCTGGGTCTGTCCGATCAGGATGAGAGCATTGGAGGAGATGATGGACAGGCAGAAGTTGATAAGAATGACCGAGCGCTCTGAGCGGATATACCTGCAGAAAGAGAAGAGGGGAAGGAGATCCACCCTGTTACACCTTGCATGAAGCCACTGGGCTTTACACAATCCCATGGTAAGAGACGGCCCACTTTCTTCAGATCTCGTGTGTTAAACAGACAAGTACAAGGGGAAAAAGGAGGAGGAGAGCTTGGGTGTGGTGCACAGACCTCTCAATCCTCCCCATCAATGTTGGAGTTACGAGCATGAGCCAAAAAATCAGGGGCTAGCCTGCTCCCTACTCTAAACCTTTTCTAAAATAGTATTGAGTGCTGTAGTCCCCTTCAGCTCTGCTCACTTGGTAGGGGACTTGGAAAGGAGCTTAGAAGAAAACATACACGCAACACATGGAAAGATTCCCAAATAAGAAGAGCCACAAGCATGCTGGCGATGAAAGCAGGTTACGAACGCATGCATCTTCACAACAAAGTGCTTGTGATTCAGCATTCCCCTTTGTTTAACCTAACAACAGGTCCAGAAGTGAAAAGAAATTGTGGTTGGTTTGGGTTTTTTTTGTTTGTTTGTTTGTTTGTTTTTCCAGATGGAGAGGTTTAACGCTTCTCAAAACTAGGCCAAATATGTAGCTGTAACCGTGGGTCTGGGACATCAGGAATCCAAGTTAGGAAGTTGTTGCCTTCAGCACCTTGCAGGAGCAAGCCACTTGTCATTTCTCATTTACAATGTGCAGCACAGCACCAACTTGCTGCTGAAGTCTGTGCACAGTTAATTCAAATGACTGGCTACAGAGGAAAATTTCTTTGAAGGTGCTTTTATGTATCCAATAAAATTAAAAGGGAATTGCAAAAGTGCAAGTCTTCAAGGATTGACTCAAGACCTGACCATAACCAACCCTTACACGTATGAGTAATCTCAGTGATGCAGTAAGTGCCCTGCCTGAATACCAGATGAGTAAAGAGTAGAAACGGATGTCTATAAAAATTAGAAACAGATCTATTAACCAGACAGCTCATCCCTGGAGGCTAATGCAGGATTATTTTGTATATTCCAGTACATCAACTATTTATACTAAGAATTTAATTTCATTAATTAATTTTAGCAAGAGTGTGTCAGTCACACTCTGGCTGTAGAGTCTGCATTTCTGACTGGTAGGACAAGATGAGTTTACTGCATATCTGTATTGAGCCAAGAAAGAATCTGTGCTTTAGATCTGTTGGAGACTGTGAAACTTGGATTTTAACTTCCCTGCTAGTTTTCCTTCTAGATAAATACAAATGTTGAGAATATGTTTTTCTGGATACAAAAAAACAGTCACTGATGAAAAGCAGACTCACTTTACATCAGCTTTGTTAGAAAACTGGTTTATAAGTAGTTCTTTCTTGAAACACACTCCAACCCCATAACGCATTTCAAAATTTAGGTTTCCAGCTCAGCTAGAAACTGGATTTGCTGCAAGTAAAACAAGCCTGGAGTTATTCCTTAGCCAGTTTGATCCCAGATTTTGCTGTTTTACTTGTTTCAAATACAATAATAAGGGGCATCTGAATCTTACTCCATTTGTAGGATATCAAGCCATCAATCTTCGGATGTTCAGATTGTGTGAAGTAAAATATGTGTCAAATCTATAGTCAGCAGCTTCTATGGGATAGAAAGGAGGATTTGGACAATGTGCTGGTAAGAATGGGATGTGCTAAGTCTGTGTAGGAACACTATGGCATTAATGCTCATTTAGGAAATTTCCTCTGTTAAAAAAAGAAATAGTGAAAAATGAGTTGAGTGTAAATGTAGTCTGCATGTCAAAGTAAGGGGTTAATAAACAGCTGTTTTCACATTTTCTTCCCCCCTGAAAAGCCTTTTCTTTCTCCATGCTTGCTGTTATCTACCAGAAGTTCCTGTTCCCCGGATCCCTGAACCTTCAAAAAATGAAGTGTGAGTTGGCACCTTGTAGAATCAGAATATCAGAATAATTTAGCTTGGAAAAAAAACCCTCTGGAGTTGCCAATTCAATCCTCTGCCCAAACCAGAGCTGATTTCCAAGTCCTGTCATGTTTTTCAGGGCATTGTCCAATCAAATTTCAAAAACGTTTAAGAATGGGAAGTGCCATAACCTCTTCTGGGTGATTTGCTTCAGCTTTTAACCACTCATGGTGAAGAGCCATTTTTCTTCAATCCAGTTGGAATTTTTCACGATGCAATTGGTGGTCTTTGCCCCTAAATCCTTCACTGTATCCATCTGTGAGTTTTATGACTCCACTTTCTCCATGTCTCCTCCTTAACAGACTTCTTCTCTTCAATCTACCCAAGCTTTCCTTGTTCCCTGTGCCTCTCCTTGAGCATTATGTTCTATTGCTCCTTAAAATGGACTCAATTAAGTTTGTTGCTCTCTCTCCTGTATTGGGGGGTATTGTGGGGTATTATGGAAATGCTATTCCAGATGTGGCCTTAAAGAGAGTCAAGTAGAGGGGAATAACAATTTCCCTTGACCTGTTGGTTATATTACTATTAGTGCAGGCCTTCACTGTTGAACAGTTGCATTGCTGAGTTATGTATAAATTGTCACCAACTGGATCCCCTGAGGCTTCTTTGGACATATTACCAAGCCAGCCAGCCTCCAGCTTGTCCTGCTGCATGTAGTTGTTCAGTTCCAGGTACAGAAGTGCTCATTTGTCTTTGGTGTAAAATTTCTCCAGCCTATATCTCCAATTTGTTGAAGCTTGTCATTGCTGCTCTCCAGCATATGAATCACTCTTTCCATATTGGTATAGACATCCAAGAACTTGCCAAGAGTGCCTTTTTCCCCATCATCCAGGCTGTTAATGAAGATATTAAACGATATCGGTCCTGGCACCAATCACTGAAAGATACTGCTAGTAACCAGCTGCTGGTTAGGCTTCAAATCTTTAACCATTACCCAGAGCCTGCATGAACTACAGCCAGCTTTTAATCTGCGTTAGCAGATTAATCCAATCCAAAATTCACTAGTTTGCTTACTAAGATGCCTGTGTCAAAGGCCTCGGCAATGACAAAATATACAATGCCCACTTCTCTTCAATATCCAAGCTACCAGCCATCCCATCGCAGAAGGAAAGCAGGTCAGTCAGGTGCAATCTGTCCCTGAAAAATATGTGCTGTCTATTCCCAATCACTCTCTTGTCCATCATTTTGCTTGGAGAAACTATTTGCTCTTTAATCTTTCCAAAGTCTGTGAACAGACTGAACAGCAAGTAGTTCTGCAGATCCAACTCCTTGCCCTTTTTAAAGATGAGTATAACACTTCTTCAAACCACCTTGAACCTATCCAGATGATAGATACTGGCACTACTATACAGCAAGCTCCATCTCAACACACTAATCATCCCATTTGAAGCCATGGGCATGCAAATATCTATTTTACATAGTTCTCAGTTTTCTCCTTCATGGTGATGCATAGTGACTTTTTTCCCCAGTTTCTTCTCCAAGATTCTGGGACCTGGATCCATGGAAGCAAATGTTGGCAGTAGACCAAGATGAAGAGGGCAGTGATTAATTACCCTGATTTTCTCCATGTCCTTCTCCATCAGAACATGTTTCCTATTCAGCATTTCCTTGGATCATCCTTTAGTGCTGTTGTACCTACAGAAACCCTTCTTCATGCCTTTCACATCTTTTATCAGTTTCAAATAGAGTTGAGAACCAGCTTTCCTAATGCTTCCATACTGCTCTTTGTCAGCCTGACCTCACTACTGAACACTTACAAGCTATGATTCTTGCTTTTTTTTTTTCCTGCATCACCTCTAGCTCAGGGATATTCCACAGAAGGAAATCAGGATTCCTATCCAGGACATTTGGCAAAAGAAGGCAGGAACTCATGGCAGAGATGGAAAACACGGAGGCCGTGATGCTTCGCCAGATGAGAGGTCTGCAGAATGCTTTCTCACTATCCCTTAGCTGCAACATGGACTGCCTTATTTATCAAAGCACACTGCGCACAGACACCAAAGCCTGGAAAACCTCTCACTGCAAATGTAGGGAGCTTCTGCTCTGGCCTGGGTCTTGTGGGATGTGGGGAAGCCCAAGACAGATGGAGAACATTAGGAAAACCCTGCAGTTTGTCTCTCTGTATCCATTCTGCTCCCCTCTTCTCTGCAAACACTGAGCCAACTTTGCTTTCTTGTGGTGCTCCTACACATCCTTCTCCGCACAAACTTACTCATTCCTGCTGCCTTCCACTAGGACCACAGAGTGCCTTAGCCTCCCCAGCAAAATGCAGAGCTCTTGGGTTTAAAGCAAGCATTAAAAGCCACTTGAGAGCTTGCTGACAACCACTAAATCAATCTTCAGCCTCTATGGACAGGGAATGAAAAAAGCTTACACCGATATCTCTCAGCGATACAGCATTCATTCAGCTGCTGCCGTGCCCTACATGCTGACAGGCTGGTGGAAGAGCTATTTGATAGCAAGCATTGATCTCCATGCTATGGAAAGGTCACTCTGATTCCGGAGGCTGTTGAACTGCAGTTGGGTTCAGGGATGGAAAATGCATCAGGCTGCTTCTGAAACACCATCCTGTCAAGGAGTGGCGCAGACCAAAGCGAAAAGAAGTACAGCTCTAAGTCATTCAATCTGTTCTGACCCATGAGCAATTCTGTTTCTCCCCACTTTTCATTTTTCAAATCGGCTTTCAAGCGAGAAAATCTTTTTCTTATTATTATTTATTTTCTGAATGCCTCTGTTTTCCATTCAGCTGGTGGAAAACATGGCCAACACACATGGTTTCCAGTTGTGAATTAGGACAACCATAACCAGAGGTAACAAGGGCACTCCACTTCTACGGCCCAATGTGTCAACTGACCTCTCTGCCAAAGCTGCTAGTAAGGCCAGAGATGGACCATCTGTAGCAGAGTTTTTGCAGCCATCTGTCTACTGGGAACTGGAGCGAGTCCACCAACAGGCCACCAACAGCCGCCAAACGGAAACAATGTCCAGCATGAAGTGAGACTGTGCCAAGTTGGCTGCCTCTGAAGCGATCACTTTCATCAAGAAACTCATGCTGGTCATGCTGATGGCTGAGTAGGTGCCACTAAGAAACAACCATTATTGGAGGTTTTGAATGGAACAAAACCATTTCCTCTTTGATATGCAGCCCAAAGTTGGGACCACCTCCTTTTTACTCTGCCTCTTGTTCTTCACTGTGTTCCTTTCCCCTTTTTATTTTGTCTTTCTATCTTTCTGCTTCCCATGTATAAACAAATCCTAGTTGGGCAAAATTCTGGGAAGGTTTCCAGATTGTCAGCCTCAGTGAGCCTATTCATCAGAAGAGGATCATACTCAAGCTGAGTCTATGTGTACATGCTCCAGATGCCTTTGTCCAGAGGTCTGAATGAGAAACTTCACAGCCAAAGCTCCCCAAAACAGCTGAGCTCTGGTGGATGTGCTCCACAGAAGACTAAGCAGATAGGTAGTTTACTTTGATATGGCTCCTGTATTTCAGCAACAACAGCTGGAATAATACTGCTGATCCCCTTGTGAACATTCCTCCAGCTGCTGTCTGATAAACTGTATAACATCTAGGGACAAAACGAAGTGAAAGCCAGGAGATAATGTTGAATATGATGTTCCTGAGACCATTATTAGAAAAGCACATTCATGTCCAGCAGCTATGCCTAAAATAAAAAGGACACACAGAGTGCTCAGGGCTCAGCCACGGGAATGCTGTGAAATTCAGAAAACATGAAAACATGATCTACAGATAAGAAATGAAACAAACTCAGCGCACCAAAGAGAAATTCTAGAGATCACTTGATCATGCTTTACAAATATTTACACAGAGAGACTTAGGATAGAGAGCCCTTTAATCAAGATATATCTGGTCTCAGGATCACTTGGAAATGCATGTCCATCCCTTGCTAAATCAGAAATGCCCATTCAAGCCTTCCATAGACATGTCCCCCCATTCATACTGAACTTGATCATTTTGGGCGTAGGCATAGTAACACAAAGGCTGCAATTGGAAATTAAAAAGGGTATATTTTAAACAGGGCAGACAATTAACTTTACTGTCCTCAATGACAGTAAATATTGAGGGGCATGCTCCTGGAAGAAGACATATTGCATTACTCCAAATGACTCCGCCATACTCCAAACTGATTCAACCTCATGTCTGAACTTAAGTTTCAGATCCTGAACTTATTTCTGATAGGAAAGAGAGGGTGAGACTCCAACACTTGCTCTTCACTCCTCTCTCCTAACTTTCCACTTGATCCTGACACCAGTGACACCAGTAAGTCACCTACCAGCGCTGCCCAGTGCTGCCCAGCCTGAGGAAAAGCAGGAGAGGACAAGGACTTGAGCAGATCCAATGATACCCCAGGCACGGAAAAACCTGAGTTCTAGATAAATGTTATTATGATCAGTCTTCAACTCAGAGCACTCACCATAATTAACTAGCCACTATGCACTGTCACAGTATCAATAAAAGGTGCATTTTCTTTTTGCTCATTTTTAACTCTCTTGTCTCTTTCCTCTAATAAAGGGTAGAAAACATTATCTCAATTCACAAATCTAAAATGAATTTACCTTTTCCTTCCTACTAAGAAGAGTCATTTGAAAAGTGAGAGTCCTGCACTGATCTCTTCTCACAAAGGGTCATGAACAGTACATTCTTTGTAGCCATTCCTTTTTAATTTCATGGTCATTCACCTGGTTCTGATTTTCCTCTTTTGTTTATCTAGAGTAATGAAGCTCTCAGCATGTCTGCCACAAGTTTAGGAAAGGCATGGGTCTACATAGTGTAAACTCAGTTCTTGTGGAATGCTGTGAATCCCATGCATATCTTGGGTTCTCAGACTTGAAATAGTCCACCAACATGCATTTTACAGGGATGTGGGCCAATGTGGACCTTTGTTTAATACAACTCTCCTATAAAATGACTCTCACCCCTACAAAGGGGCACTTTAAGGTTGCATCTGATCTCCACATAGGTGTACAGGAGCTCTTTGAAATGCGATGTATCAAGGAATCTCATATGCATCTGAAGCCAAAGGCAGAACAAAGCTAAGGGATTAGAGAATTATTTAGCCCACGAGATGTAACACTTCTTCACACTCCACACTTAAGCTCCTGAAAAGTACTGTTAGTACTTCGGGCCAGGTGTTTTCATAATGGATCAAGCATGTTTTGATGTTATCAAAGACCCAGCCCAAAATACCTTGAAGCAACTTGCCTGCCAGGAGGCAGTGCACGTCCACCTCTCTGCAAACAAGGTTTCCTGGGCTATATAAAGGCATAGAAAACAGCACACATAGCTTTTGAAAACAGAACAATGAGACTACATGAGGTCATAGTACTAATTTCACTGTACTAATTTCTCTGGCACTAAAAGGAAAGAGTAATGCCAACTAAGCCACCATGATGACTTTTTACAAGACCCACTCATTACAAAGTAGTTCTTCTTCAGGCAACAGACACCCAAAATGGGACAGCAAAACCTCCAGGATCCATGCTGATCAAGAGACAGTTACTTTCCCCAGTAAGAAGAGAAAAGAATGAAAGCCATACCTCCAAACAGAGACATAAATGATAATCAACAGCAAAAGTGTCAGCGAAGATACTCCACAGCCTACAATTAACGTGACAGAAGGGACCAGCACCTTTTCCATGTTCTGAAAGAGAGAAAGTAACACATTAAAAAAAAAACAAAACAAAACAAAAAGATGATGAAGATGCTCAGCAAACGCTACCAGCTCAATTTCGTGGCAAGAATTTTTCTCCTAATTGTCTGATTGTACATCAACTCAATCGACCTTCACATCACACTACACATACAAATAAAGAGGAGAGAGGCCCATGAGTTACTTCAGGTTGACCCTGTCTTTCTTTGGACTTCACTCTGCTCCCACACACACCTGTGTTAAGTTTGGGTTTAAAAATCTGATATTCGTAGTGAGGTGTGTAAAAGTCACAGGTTTGCAAGAGGAGATCAGACCTTTCACATCCAGTGCGGAACTTCAAAGATAATTAATGAGGAAACAGCAGAAAGCTCTGCCTACACTAGAACGATTACAAATGAGCTCTTCTGGGAATGGCTGTTGCTGAAGCTTGGAGGATGAAAAGAAGGTGAAAATCTTCCACCGACTACAAACATCCATCTGGCAAGGGAGGAGCTGAAGCAAGCAAAGGAAAAATAAGATGTATATCCTCCCCAGGGAGCAGCAACTAGTCATACCATACATCACTTCACTGCTCTTATGCTACTTGACAAGGCATTTCTTCATATGCAGGGATTTTTACGGAAAATGCTGGCATGCAATGGTTCTCCTTTGCTGTCAACACGAGAGATCTGCCACTGACCACACCTTGCAATACCAAGAACAAACACGTGTTGTAACTACTCCTAATCTAGTTCTCTGCATTCCCTGGGACTAAGTCCATAACCAGCTACTATATGCCAGAGACTAACATCACTAAACTCCCCTTGTTCTTAGGATCTCTTTCCCACTTGGTTTCCTCAGCTGCAGGCTTTTTATTCAGCACGTTTCACATTTCCACATCAGTGATCTCTGCTGGAGAGAGGACAGAGAAGCAGGGACCCCACCATGCAGCAGATGTACCAGAGCCCCTCCATTTAAAGTGATTATGCAGTACACAAAGGTGTGGGAGCACACAGTCAAGGTTGTCATTAGATTGGCGCAGTACCAACACCTATTGCCGCAGCTATGGAAGTGAGATGGTTTCTGACATAGCAAGAGCTCAAGGTAGAAAAAAAAAAAAATTAAAAAAAGAAAAATCAATTACGCATGAATTTGGGAATGGAACAGGCAGTCCTCTGAGGACTTGTCCAGACTATTTTGTTGGCAGGCATGAGGCTGCTCAACCTGAACCTCCAATCAGCAGGACATCATGAAGCAGAGGTTACTGCAGCTCTGTTCCAGGCTACTGAGCCTTCTGCAAAGCAAAATATATTAGGCAAGGTTCGGTGCTGTGTTTATATGGAGTCTGGCCAACTCAACACATGGGCAAAGCAAATATGTCTCTTGACTGAAGGCCTACAGTTAGATTTACTCCACAGAGCCCACTATGAAGAAGGGATGAACCTCCCCAGTATATTTTTATCTGAGTTGAACTATCCTAACAGTTTGAAGGGCTTGGTAAGATCTTCCTTGCCTGCATATTTCAACCAAAAGCACTTCTCGCATTTTGAATAATCTCAAGGGGGCAATTAACGAGGAACAAAACTTTCACCATAGAGCTGCCACGAACCCCTCAGGGGCTATTGGGAAGGCTGGCACAAGACCTTAAGGGATCTAAGACAAAATGTAGCGATGAATTCAAAGGCTTGAATACCCAACTGGGTTTATACACCCAAAGGAGTAAAGGCAGCTTGTGGGATTTTTACTCAAAGCTGACTGGATACAGATCAGTTGCAGACTGGAAGCCAAACTGAATTGCAGTGTGGTGCTAACTCTGCAACATTTCCTTCCTGCTCATCTTATTAACTCTGACATGTCAGTAACTTAACATGACTGTATGGCTTCACTGAGTTTCCTTTATGAAACAGGAGGCTTGGGATTCTCGGAATCTAACACCATACATCTTATGCAAATCCATACATACCAATGTTCTGGATGCTGAACCTAATTCAGATTGCAGAAACAGTGGTACTAGATTTCAGGCAATGACTCATGCCTTTGAATTATGAGCAATTATGTATAAACATGGAACAACATGGCAATGAGCCTTGTCAGTCCTCATCAATCCTTGTCTACCTGGACTTGAGCAAGGCCTTTGACATGGTCCCCCACCACATCCTTACCTCCAAATTGGAGGGATGTGGATTTGATGGGTGGACCACCCAGTGGATAAGAAACTGATTGAAAGGCTGCAGAGAGATTGGCTCTATGTCCAGGTGGAGGCCGGTAACGAGTGGCGTCCCCCAGGGGTCTGTCTTGGGACCAGTGCTCTTTAACATCTTTATCAGTGATATCGATGACAGAATCGAGTGCACCCTCAGCAAGTTTGCTGACAACACCAAGCTGAATGGTGTGGCTGACACAGTAGAAGGAATGGATGCCATTCAGAGGGATCTGAGTTTTGCACTTGGATCTGAGGAATCCCAGGCATCCATACAGACTGGTGGGAGCGGTCCTTGAGAGCAGTCCTGTGGAGATGGACCTGGGGGTCTTGATAGATGAGAAACTTAACATGAGCCAGCAATGTGCCCTTGCAGCTTGGAAGGCAAATTGTGTCCTGGGCTCCACTAAAAGAGGGGTGGCCAGCAGAGACAGGGAGGTGATAGTCCCTCTCTACTCTGCTCTTGTGAGGCCCCATCTGGAGTGCTGTGTCCAGGTGTGAAGCCTCCAATACATAAAAGACAGGGAGCTGTTGGAGAGGGTTCATAGGAGAGCCACGAAGATGATCAGGGGACTGGAGCACCTCCCCTAGGAAGACAGGCTGAGGGAGCTGGGCTTGTTCAACCTGGAGAAAAGAAGGCTGTGGGGTGACCTCATTGCAGCCTTTCAGTACCTAAAGGGAGCCTACAAACAGGAGGGGAATCAACTCTTTGAAAGGGTTGATAACTGCAGGACAAGGGGAAATGGTTTTAAGTTGAGGGAGGGGAGATTTGGGTTGGATGTTAGGGGGAAATTCTTTATAGAGAGTGCTGGAACAGGCTGCCCAGAGAGGTTGTGGATGTCCCTACTCTGGAGGTGTTCAAGGCCAGATTGGATGGGGCCCTGCATGTGGCAGGGGGGTTGGAGATTCATGATCCTTGAGGTCCCTTCCAACCCTGGCCATTCTGTGATTCTGTGAATCCATCCAGCAAGGTTCTGCATCTTCCCTCACCTAGAGCTTCCTGAACTACTTCCAAAAAAGGCTTCAGTTCACACATTGATTCTTCCTCTTAACCTCTATGAAGACTTGTATCACTGAGATTTTTAACTCATGTGACTCTATTCACACCAAGAGAATTTACTCCTGCCAAATATTTGTTGAAGGCTAGAAGCTGTTTTCAGGGGGAAGTAGGTAAACACAAAGTAAGAAATTTCAGGGAAAACATTAACCTTTCAAATTGTCTCTCATTTAAAAAAGTTGAGACTGGACATGTTCCGTGTGCTCTGAGTGCTGAAATATTGTATCCTGCTCGTTATAAATTGATGGAGGGGAATCTTCTGTGAACAGAAGTTTCTGATTTAGTCAGGATATGGAAAAGAGATGCAATCTCTGGCACAAAATCACAGTTTCTCCCTTTGCCATCTCTGTTTTGCTTGCTTACTGCAGAACCCAAGTTACCCCACCTCAGAGATGGTTGTGATAAACTGGGGAGCACAAGCTGCTCAGACTTGGCCTGGTTTGTGTTCTCTCATTCCAGTCTCAACCCTCTTTTCTCTCCCTGCTCCTCGCTTTCGGCAATATGAGTTCACATCACACAAACGGTGGCCTGGGATGATCATCGATTGTGACATTTGATTTAAGTAGGTCTTGTCTCACTGACTTTTCATGGGTAACTGGATAAAAGTCAGGGAGGAGCTCCATTAAAGCAAAAAAAAAAACAAACAACAAAAACAAACAAATCAAGACATGCAACTCACGCCATCTGAGAGCAACATGAGAAATTGAGTTTGGATTTTAATGGATGAGTAGAGTTTATCCCAGCACTCAAAACACAATAACCTTAATTCCCCTCACTTCCACATCCTCTCTGACCCCTTCATCCAGCCAGCTCTGTTGGTATTGTGAGAGTGGATAACTATAAAAAAACACTGCCTGTAGTAAGAGATACTTCTTTGGGAATAAAACATCCTAAAGGCTTAGGCCTTTATATCTTAGAATTCTGCTTTCTTTTTACATTTTTAAGATTTCTCTGTCCTCTTCATCTTCCTTCCCACCTCCTACACTTCTTCCCTTTGGCAAATGAAGCATCATTTGTTTTATTTCTTCTGATTAATTAAACCCCCCGACAGAAGGTGGTTGGATGCTGTGGGATCTGAGGCTGGCAAGGAAAATTTCCTTGGAGGAAGAAGAGGGGAAAAAGAAAGACTGATTTAAAAAGAAATAGTAATACCAACAGAATGACATCAAGGGGGTCTTAAAGTGAGAAAGAAAGTCTTACAGGAGTTTCCCAACATCACAGCTGAGGAATAAAGTCATTGCTTGCAAAGGACAGACTCAGGAGGTCCACCTGCTTGGACAGAAGATGGTCCCAAATGGCCCAGCCCTGCTTCTTTCACCTCCCCATGTCTGCTGATGCATGGCATTTGGAAGCATCTCAAAATGCAGATGAGACTGTTCTCCTATGGAACTGGAAAAGAAACCTTTGCCTGGGCTGGGTAGGAACAGAGTCTCAAGTCCCACGACTCTGTCAGCAAGCATGACAAAGGAGGAGAAAAGCAATCAATGACATCAGCTAGGATGGAAATAACGAGTGCTACTGCCTGGGGCTGTTTGCTGTCCTGCCGCTGCATCGCTCTGCCTAACAGGGCAGAAGGACACTCCTTCACAATTTTGCTTTGCTTCCTTCTTCTTTTCTATTTCGTCCTCTTCCTTTCTCAGTCCTTTTTTTCTCCCCTACTTTTTCTTCCTTTCTCCCTTAATTTGACCATTTTTCCATGACTGCTTTCCTGCCTTTTCTTTTCACTCTTCACACTCCTCTCTGGCTCTCCTCCCT